ACTATTGTGACACCCTGTATATACAGTGAGAGTGTAAAGTTTGGAACAAATTCGTTAAATACCTAATTTGTCCATTGGGGAAAAAAAGCTTGGACATGTAGATTTTTTATTTTAAAAAGCGGGTCAGAAAAGGTTGTAAGTGTTTATACAGGATGTCCCAAAAATGAGATATGACTACAACTTACATTTTTTTTAAATGGAATTCCCTATTTATTATTTATTTATTTTTAGTTTGTACGATGAAAATAAACGTAAGTTTCATGAAGGTTTTTTATACCTAAATTTATACGTTTTTGAAAAATATGGAGTTTTGTGATTTAGCAGCGTTTATTTTAATGTTCAAATTTTCGGTAGTAATTACTTTTTTTAGGTAAAATTATTAACGCAGCATTACAATGGACCAAATTTTATGTTACACTTTTCAAAAATTCGGTAAAATGTACAGGATGTCCAAAAAATATAACCGAAGAAACGTCAATTAAAAATAAATGTAATTGAAATAGGAAGAAAAATTATATAAGCTTTTCTTTTCTTAATAATCGAAGTTTAAAACATCAGAAAGAAACGTCAAATGTCATACCTCTTTGGCAGTGATGTTAAAATTACTTTATAATATGTAATTAATTACAATTACAATTACTTTTGGCAAATTGTAATTAATTGCAATTACAATTACAATTAAAGTTACAATTACAATCACAATTATTTTGCTTTGGTGTCAGTTTTAAATAATTATTTAGGGATTTGCAATTGAAATTAAACTTTCCACGTATTGAAAATATTAAATAAGTACTTTTGTGTCTAATGTAATTGAAATGTAATTGTAAAATGTAATTGTAATCGTAACGAACGGAGCAATTGAATTACAAATGAATTACACTTGATGAGCTTGTAATTAATTACCGCCTCAATTACAATAATAGTAATTCAATAACCTTTTCAATTACTTGTAATTAATTACTCAACAACACTGCTCTTTGGTATTATTTGTCGGTATTATTTTATTAGATAAATTATTATATTCGAGAATATCAAAATTCCCATTTTTTAATTTTCTTATATTTTTAAAGTTATAATTTTTGGACATCCTATACATTTTACCGAATTTTTGAAAATTGTAACATAAAATTTAGTCCATTGTAATGTTGCGTTATTAATTTTACCTAAAAAAAGTAATAACTACCAAAAATTTAAACATTAAAATAAACGCTGCTAAATCACAAAACCTTTATGAAATTTACGTTTTTTTTTTCATCGTACAAACTAAAAATGAAATAATAAATAGGGCATTCCATTTAAAAAAAATGTAATTTGTAATCATATATCATTTTTGGGACATCCTGTATAAACACTCACAACCTTTTCTGACCCGCTTTTTAAAATAAAAATCGACGTGTCCGAGCTTTTCTTTTTCCAAAATGGACAAATTAAGCATTTAACGAATTTGTTCCAAACTTTACACTCTCACTGTATATACAGTAGGCGTCGGAAAAGTGGCTCGTTCGAGCGGGAAATAAATTATTTGTTGGATTAATTAAGCGGTTATTTTTAGTCGCGACTACGCGATGCGCTAATCAACGATTTTATTTTATTTCACATGTGTATAGTGTTGAAATTTTTATTTTATTGCATAACTTTAGCTATATACAGGGTGTCTCATAAGTTGATACGTTTTTTTTTTTAACTGCGTATAGATCTTGTAATTCTAAGCGACTTTTTCAAGTAAATATTTTTAATATTCTGGAAAATAAGAGAGCATGTATTTTTTCAATTTTTAATTATTAAAAAGTTAGTTAATACGGACCTGTTCATTAAAAGTTAAAGGAACCGCTCAAAATTGTCGCCATTTTGATTCGAAACGCTTTGAAAACATTTTCCATAAATAATCAGAATGTCCACCAATTCATTATTTCTATAAAAAAGAGTCATTTTCAATTCAACAATCGAAAAATTAATTTTTTGCCATTAATTATTTATTATTTTTTACACCTGTATGGTAATGACAGGTACGTATCGGAAAATATTCGAAATTTAAAGAAATTAAAAAAAATCCATCTTTTTATCCATACTCCAAAAAGTTGCTTAGAATTAAAAGATCTATATGCAGTTTAAAAAAATATATCAATAACTTATGACACCCTGTATAGGCTCGTTAACACTTTCACTGCCTGTAGCTCTTCTCCCACGTCTCAAATACACATAAGTCTAAAAGTTTGGAATATATTGTAAATTTTTCACATCAAAAGAATAAATAATTTTTTTGCATATTGTTTATCTGTCTTTGACAGTGTTACTAATGTAAAAAATACATTATAAATACAAATGAAGCTACGTATTTAAATATATTAAAAGCTACAGGGTGTTACAATTTTAGAAAAAACTCTTCTATCATATTTTTCTTATTAGTCCAGATATTTTTATGAAATTTTGTACACTTTTTTTAATTATTAAGGAGCATTTTGAAGCAAAAGATTTGTTTGATCTGAACATTCAGGGTTTGAACTGAATATGTTTGAAGAAAAAAATGGTGTACGCCACTGGTTTTTCTAAAAACCAAAATTATTTTGAAAATCCTCATTTATTTTGAAGCAAATTCGGTCAAAAGACTTATTTTCGTACGACGCACCATTTTCGCGTAAAAAAATAAAAACCAAATCCATTTTTTCCAAATTTAATTTTGAGGCTGCTTTTGATATTTTGTTGAAATTTGATAGGCGCCCACCATGCATTGAAACACTTTTTTTTTTTGAGAAAAAAATTAATTTTCTACTATTACCAGTGACGTCCACGTCCGAAATTTCATAAAAATATCTGCGGAGTAATAAGAAAATTATGTCAGAAAAGTTATTTTTTTCTCTAAAACTGTAACACCCTGTAGCTCGAAAACGAAGATATTTAGGAAGTATCGGCACTCAATTAATTAACACCCTGTATACTATTTAGAACTCTCCAAAATCATTTAGAACCGTCTAGAACAATATAGAGCGTTCCAGCATTATTTTAAAACAATTTAGAACGCTACAGAATCATTGGGAACAATCTAGAATGCTTCAGAAACATTTAGAACTGTATAGAACAATATATAGAAAGATCCAGAATCATTTAGAAATATTTAGAACCATTTAGAACTGTCTAAAGCCATTTATAACGCTCCAGAACCACTTAGAACTATCTAGAACCTTTTAGAACGCTCCAGAATCATTTAGAACGCTCCAGAATCATTTAGAACTGTTTAGAACCATTTAGAACAACCATTGAGTCAATTCTATCATTCAATCTAAAACGCTCAGAAACGTTTAGAGCTGTCTAAATCCATTTAGAACTCTCCATACTCATTTAGAACGCTCTTAGAACTGTCTAAAACCATTTGGAATGATCCAGAATTTGGAATGTTGAACAAATTAAAGGAACTAGACGCGATGAATTTATTTTTATTGGCACCATATTTGAAATAATCGCGTCAAAATATATTAAAAAAAAATAGATTTTATGTCGAGCACTAAAAAAAAAGAGTGTAAAAATTTTAGTAAACTTTTAGTGATATTATTGCAGGATTCATTTCATCAGGCGGTGAAAGTGTTAAAAACATGTGTATTTCCATACGAAACGAAGTAATGTTGTTTTTCGGTCGTCTATTTTCGTTCCGGGAAACGTAAATATACCGATTAAAATTAAAACGTTATTCGTTTTCGGCGCGGGAAAAGGAACGGGAAAATACAAAAAAAAATTTCCCAACGTACCGGGTGTCCCACCAGAAAAGGTAACCGGTTGTATATCAGAAACTGATTGTCATAGAGACTTGCGGTAAAAAATCTTATGAATAAATTGGCAAAAAGAAAATGCTGGAAATACTTTTTAAGTATCTAAAATGGCCGCTAGGGGGAGTATCGGCCATCTTGATTTTTGAAAAATCGTTTTTTTCAAAATTTTCCTTAATAAAGGTATCAGAAATTTATTTTATTTTGATAGTTGGGATAATTGCGATACTTTTTTGTTTAATATTTTTGACTCTATCTTGTAAAATAAAGTGGTGGGGGCTGTTTGAATATTGTGACAAATAAATGTTAATAACTTTTAATCGGCTGAATGAATTTTCATAAAAAGGAAATCGTTGAAAAGGGCTTTCTTCGGTCTATAATTTAAACTATATAAGATATTATTGCAAATATTTTCTTCGCCGCAAGAGGGCGTTTTCCGACATGACTTTAAAAAATACCGATTTTCTCAAAAAATTTAAATGCAACGATATAACTTTTTATTTGGAGAAATATAGTCAAATAATTGCCAAACAAGCCTGTGAAAACCGTATCTCCATATCTCCTTCCTAATCTAAAATATATTTAAAAAAAAGGAAAAAAATCTAGAAATTGGGTATATTTTTTGGTATACTCCCATTATAAAAGTCTCTAATTAGCGTTGTTCTATTTAAAACAGTAATCAATTTATTAATAACATTCAAGTATGATATTAGGAACACCAAGCTAAGTAATTATTCATGCAGTAATTATTAGATTTCACACTGTTTGAGAACTCTAAAAAATGAGCATGCCGTGGAAAATAAATACAAACAACCCCCACCACTTTATTTTACAAGATAGAGTCAAAAATATACAACAAAAAATAATCGCAATTGTCCCAACTATCAAAATAAAATAAATTTCTGATACCTTTATTAACGAAAATTTTGAAAAAAACTACTTTTCAAAAATCAAGATGGCGGATACTCCCCCTAGCGGCCATTTTAGAGACAAAAATTATTTCCAGCATTTTCTTTTTGCCAAATTATTCATAAGATTTTTTACCGCAAGTCTCTATTGTCTCAATTAGTTTCTGATATACAGCCGGTTACCTCTTTTGGTGGGACACCCGGTACATTCGTAAAAATACACTCATCAACCGTGAAAAATATTTCGTTGCGAAATAACGTATACAACATACAGGCAGATTGGAAAAAAAAATTAATTCGAACAGACTCGTTTAATAAACGCTACGCAGCTCTAACGCTCTAACGAGCGATTGCTGCACATGTCTCTAATTGATGATACGAACAAAACAAATAATACGAGGGTATGGTGAAAAGTTTTCGGATTGATACTTTAAGGGCGATCCAATTAGCGAAAATTCTTGTTTCCTCTTTGGGAAAATTATAATTAATTCTAGAATTGTCTAAGAACTGTTTAGAACGATCCATAAACTTTTAGAATGCTCTAGAACCATTTATAACAATTCTAAAACCGTCTAAAACCATTAAGAATACTCTAGAATCATTTAGATTTTTCTAGAACTTTATCAATCAATCAAAAATTCTTGTTTCCTCTTTGGGAAAATTATAATTAATTCTAGAACTATCTAAGAACTAACTAGTAACGCTCCAAAAGCATTATGAACTGTCTAGAACCATTTAGAACGATCCAGAAATATTTAGAACTGTTTAGAAAATTTTAGAAGGCTCCAGAACCATTTACAACCATTCTAAAACAGTCTAAAACCATTTAGAATACTCTAGAATCATTTAGATCTTTCTAGAACTTTATCAATCAATCAAAAATTCTTGTTTCCTCTTTGGGAAAATTATAATTAATTCTAGAACTATCTAAGAACTAACTAGTAACGCTCCAAAAGCATTATGAACTGTCTGGAACCATTTAGAACGATCCAGAAATATTTAGAACAGTTTAGAAACTTTTAGAACGCTCCAGAACCATTTACAACCATTCTAAAACAGTCTAAAACCATTAAGAATACTCTAGAATCATTTAGATTTTTCTAGAACTTTATCAATCAATCAAAAATGTTTGTTTTCTCTTTGGAAAATTTATAATTAATTCTAGAACTATCTAAGAAATAACTAGTAACGCTCCAGAAGCATAATGAACTGTCTAGAACCATTTAGAACGATTCAGAAATATTTAGAACTTTTTAGAAACTTTTAGAACGCTCCAGAACCATTTACAACCATTCTAAAACAGTCTAAAACCATTTAGAATGCTCTAGAATCATTTAGATTTTTCTAGAACTCTATCAATTATCAAAAATTCTTGTTTCCTCTTTGGAAAATTTGTAATTAATTCTAGAACTATCTAAGAACTAACTAGTAACGCTCCAAAAGCATTATGAACTGTCTGGAACCATTTAGAACGATCCAGAAATATTTAGAACTGTTTAGAAACTTTTAGAATGCTCCAGAACCATTTACAATTATTCTAAAACAGTCTAAAACCATTAAGAATACTCTAGAATCATTTAGATTTTTCTAGAACTTTATCAATCAATCAAAAATTCTTGTTTCCTCTTTGGGAAAATTATAATTAATTCTAGAACTATCTAAGAACTAACTAGTAACGCTCCAAAAGCATTATGAACTGTCTAGAACCAATTAGAACGTTTCAGAAACATTTAGAACTGTTTAAAAACGAAACTTGAACCGTTTAGAAAGCTTCAGAATGATTTAGAACGCTCCAGCATTTTTAATTCAATTTTTTGCCAAATTTCGGGCGTTTTTTAATAATATTTGAGGATTTTTGCAAATTTTTTATCAAAATTTTACGCAATTTTTACCCGTTTTACGCATTTTATTCCAGTTTATAACAAGCAAATTTTTGTTAATTTTTAGCATCATTTTTTTAAATATTTTAACGCAAATTTTAAGTTTTTTTGGTCCGATTTTGGCATATTTTTAATGCAACTTTTTCGCAAATTTTGCAATTTTTACGCTTTTTTTTTTCAATTTTTTTAGCATTTTTAAAGCATTATTTCAATTCAAATTTTGTTCATTTTTACCCAACTTTTGAGCGTTGTTTTACCCAATTTTCGTGTAATTTTTAACAAATTTTTTGACTAATTTTCCTTAAATTTTTGTTAAAATTTGGTCAATGTTTACTCAATTTTCAACATTTTTTGCCAAATTTCGCGTATTTTTTAGTTTTTGAGCATTTTTTAACGAATTTTTTGTTCATTTTTTCTCAGCAAATTTTTGTCGAACTTTTAGAACGCTCTAGAACCTTTTAGAACGCTCCAGAACCTTTTAGAACGCTCCAGAATCATTTAGAACTGTCTAAAACCATTTAGATCGCTCCAAAAAAGAGACAATTTTTTTTACTTCGCAAATTTTTGATCATTTTTTACTTAATTTCGGCACATTTTTAACGAATTTTTTGTCCAATTTACAAGCAAATTTTGGGGTTTTTGTCAAATTTTAAAATCCTTCAGAACCATATAGAACCCTCCGTAATCATTTAGAACTGTCTCGAACTAAACTTTTCGACTTAATAAAAAAGAATAATGTAATTTTTCAACTGAAAAAATCGCTGTCTTTCATTGTCAGATCGAGAACTTTTCACCTTACCCTCGTAAACGCTACGCAGTTATCTCTAACGAGCGAAATAACTCTCTAATTAACGATGATGCGGATAAAACGAATAATAATAATAATAATAACATTGATAGTGCGGGAAATGTGAAAAGCTGATTTTCCCTAAAGTATAGAAATTCCAACGAGAAAAAGAAGAAAATTTGGAGAAAAATAAAAAAATATGCCAGCTATGACGACGCACGGTGGGGTGCTTTATTACGTGGTGAAGGTCCCGAAGGATGGTGAAAATAGGTAGAGAAATTATTGTTTACTTCTCTACTACATTCTACTTTTAATTAATAATTTTCTAAAGTTTCTATTTTTTTTTTGGTCCAATTTTGGCATATTTTTAATGCAACTTTTTCGAAAATTTTGCAATTTTTGAGCATTTTTTTTTCTCATTTTTTTTGCATTTTAACTCATTATTTCAATTAAAATTTTTTTCATTTTTACCCAATTCTAAGTAGAGAAATTATATATTGTATTGCAAATTGATGCATTTTATTCTACTCTTTTCTACTCCACATTGTTTGGTAAATTTATTCATTGCAACTCTAGGTACATTCGCTTTTCTACTACATTCTACTTTTCTACATAAAATTCAACATTTTCTACATCATTTTTTTTACATCAAATTTTGCAATTTTTGAGCATTTTTTTCTCAATTTTTTTAACGCATTATTTCAATTAAAATTTTGTTCATTTTTACCATACTTTTGAGCACTTTTTTGTCCAATTTTCGTGTAATTAAAAATAGGTAGAGAAATTATTGCCTACTTCTCTACTACTTTCTATGTTTCTACATAATTTCCTACATTTTCTACACCATTTTTTTTAATATATTAACGCAATTTTTGAGTTTTTTTTGTCCAATTTTGGAATATTTTTAATGCAACTTTTTCGCTATATTTTGCAATTTTTGAGCATTTTTGTTCTCAATTTTTTTAGCATTTTTAAGGCATTATTTGAATTAAAATTTTGTTCATTTTTACCCAACTTTTGAACATTTTTTTTAGCCAATTTTCGTTTAATTAAAAATAGATAGAGAAATTATTGTATTGCAAATCGATGCATTTTACTCTCTTAATTCTACTCTTTTCTACTCCACAATTTTTGGTAAATTCCATTCATTGCAACTCTAGGTACATTCGCTTCTCTACTACATTCTACTTTTCTACATAAATTTTTTAATATATTAACGCAATTTTTGAGTTTTTTTTGTCCAATTTTGGCATATTTTTAATGCAACTTTTTTGCAATTTTTCTCAATTTTGTAGCATTTTTACAGCATTATTTCAATTAAAATTTTGTTCATTTTTATCCAACCTTTGAGCATTATTTTACCCAATTTTCGTGTCATTTTTAACAAATTTTTTGACCAATTTTCCTCAAATTTTTGTTAAATTTTTGCCAAATTTCGCGCATTTTTTAGTTTCTGCGCATTTTTTAACGAACTTCTTGTCTTGTGTTTCATTTTCACCCAACTTTTGAGCATTTTTTTACCCAATTTTTGTGTAATTTTTAACAATTTTTTTCACCAATTTTGTTCAAATTTAAGAAATTATTGTATTGCAAATCGATGCATTTTACTCTCTTAATTCTACTCTTTTCTACACCACAATGTTTGGTAAATTCGTATAATCTTGCATATCGTGTAATGAGATCTTATACAATTTTATTATTTCTATAAAACGCTTGTATTTTATGTAATACGAGTACCTGCACTTGCAATTGCAAGAAACCTCGAAAGATAACGTCAGATATCTTCCAAGAAATCTACAAGATTGCGTTTATTTTCCAGAAAATTTGATAAAATAATAAATAATAATGTAGTTTTTCTTGTTGAAAAACATGATGTCATTTGCAATAGATTCAATTACGCTACGAAACTCAATCTATAGGGCGATCCAAAGATTTATTAATTTTATTGGATTCATTAACATTTATACTCCATTCGCCATCCGGAGATAGTTATAAGAATTTCTCGATGCAGTAAAAAGGAGGCACTATTGAATTAATAACTTGATAAATAATTTTGTTATTTTTTTCGTTGAACTGCTTTAGCATTAATAATTAGTTTTAATTACAATCTTCTGATAGCGAACGGAGTATAATTTCCTATATTTCCTCAAACCCGGCAATATATCGAACATGTAAATTGGTCTCTGAGTACCTGCAGAAAGTATCACAAATAATTTTGATGATTTTTATTTACAGCAAAGTGTCTCTTTCAAAAAATTTTAATTATAAAAATTGGAATTAATTATGCACTCTACTTCTACTCTCTGCTAATCTCTTCTAGTCTCTTAATTCTAATCTTTTCTACTCTACAATATTCTCTACATTCTACTTTTCTACTTTCTTCCACTATCTTTTACCATCTTCTACTCTCTTAATTAATCTCAATTATTAAGTCTCTTTTTAATTTTTTTAGTACCTATTTAGCCAATTGTTTTTACTCATTTAGGTACTATTTTAACAAGTTTATTTGGAACTGTTCAAAATTATTTAAGATTGTCCAGAATCATTTTGAACCATTTTAGAATTGACTACTACCATTTGAAACACTTCAGAACCACCTTAGAATTATTTAGAATTGTTCAAAATCACTTGGATTTGTCCAAAATCATTTTGAACCATTTTACAATTGACTAATACAATTGGAAACAATTCAGAACTTTGTTAGAACTATTTAGAACTGTTCAAAATCATTTTAAACAATTTTCGAAACCAGTTTATTATCAATTGAAACACTTTAGAACCATCTTAGAACTATTTAAAACTGTTCAAAATCCCTTAGAATTGTCCAGAATCATTTTGAGCTATTTTAGAAACAAATTAGGATCATTTGAAACAGTTCAGAACTACCTTCAAACTATTTAGAACTGTTCAAAATCATTTTAAACAATTTTCGAAACCAGTTTATTATCAATTGAAACACTTTAGAACCATCTTAGAACTATTTAAAACTGTTCAAAATCCCTTAGAATTGTTCAGAATCATTTTGAACTATTTTAGAAACAAATTAGGATCATTTGAAACAGTTCAAAACTAAAAACTATTTAGAATTTAAATTTTTATTTTTTTAAACTAATTTTTCTTGATTTCTTTTTTTTATCAAAAATTAAACATCTTTTTTTGAGAATATTGAAATTTATTGAAGAAAACAAATAATAGAAGGAATTTCCCTATAAAATTTTCTTTGTCTAAATTTTAGGTTAGGAACAAGATATCGAGATTTGGTTTTCGTGAGCTGGTTTAGGCACCATTTAGCTAATTATTCGTGAAAAAAAATCATACCAATGCATTTAGTTTTTTTGAGAAAATTAACCATTTCTGTCGGAATGTCGGAAAAAGCGCTCTACTAGCGACACGTGAATCTAACAAAACTTTAAATAATATAACTTTTGTAGCCCAAGAATATCTCTTTTCAACTAGCCCAAGTTTGTTCAAATCGGCTCAGCCGTTTCGAAGATACAGGGTGTTTTTTAGGGAAACATTTGAATAACACTCACCACTTTATTTTTAGAGATACAGCAAAAATTGTTAAACAAAAAAGGTTCATATTATACTCGACTTTAAAGATCTGGTATTTTTTTGTTAGGTTAATATAGCAGAATTCATAGAAATATCACTTTTTTAGTTTCAATATTGCAGTTACACCTCCTAGCGGTCATTTGAGAAACTTGAAAATGTTTTCCAGGTTTTTCACTTGCCCGTTTTAGTAATAACTTTTTTTACCGCAATCCTCTACGATGCATAGTTTCCCAGATACAGTACCTCGCAATCTCAATTGGCCACCCTGTACATTTACGAATTATATATGAAACAAAATATCTTGTAAATGGCCGCCACGGCTTTGCTGGTACAAGCGTACTCTTTTGATAATATTTGATAATAATACTCTTTTCAACAGCATTATTGTATACATGTGGCAGTATTTTATTGATACAAGTTACCCGACAGCCAGAAGTCCAAAGGTGTTAAATCACAAAAACGTGGCGGCCAATTCCGGTCACCAAACCGGGAAATGACCCGACCGGGAGTAATGTTTAACAATTAAGACGCGATTGTGTTTCATATCCAGATCCAATGATCCATATTTACTAACTCTCAACTGTCAACTTTCGATCTGTCATGATATAATCACGTGCATAGACCTATTAAGTATGGACGCGGTTTAGACAAAGAGGTAGTGTTGTCGATGAATGAGAGAGATTCAGCTAGTTTGGGCATATGGCAATGAGAGATTGGACAATGTATTAGCCAATTGTAAGAAAGCAAAAGACCACGTGAGTTACGTTTTCAGATATGCAAGGTAGCTGGGGTAGAGGAGGGTAGCTTATGGAAGAATAGGGTTGAGGATTTATTATGTTTTTACCGATCAAAATGCATTTTTCAGCTGAGCCTAAATTTCCAGGCATTTGCAAATACAGTTTATATTTTGTATTGTTAATTGGAACATCCTACCAATTAGCCAGTATAGATTTCGCAATTTAAGACCTAACTGTTTTCTCTTGTAAAAAATATGTTTCTTCCTGGTCATTCTTCTGTCCAAGTGGATACCAAGATAAAAACAATATTTAAATATTAAGCGTATAAATAATTTAACAGATTAATAGCCTTTTCCACACACCCTGTATATATTTTATATATTTTTTGGTCCCGCCTACTTTTATCCCAAAACTAGCTCCATCTCTCACGGACCTCTCTCTCTATCATTGGGAACGCTGAATAACCTCAAAATACCGATAGTGACGCGTCCATACTTAATAGGTCTATGATCACGTGTCATTATGACTGTCAAACATGACGGGCAATTCAAATCTTGCGGTCTTATTGAAACACCCTATAATTACCAATCGTTTTTTTTTCTAACATTTTTTTTAAATCTTTCTCCGTTTCTTCCACAGCACCGACAGCGGCTGGGACAATCCCTTCCGCCCCGGCGGCGATCTCAGCCGCGAGGCCGACGAAATCGTCGAACTGATCAAGGGCGGCAAGCCCATCACGCCGACGCCCGGCCAACAACCGCCCCCGCTACCGCCCACGCTCGAGCCGCCCGTCGCCGAATCGCCCGTCGAACGGGCTCCGGCGCCGGCGGGCGTCGCGACGTCGGCGCCGTCGCCGCGCAGCGCCAACGGTACGGCGGCGGCCAAACAGGCGCCGGTCGGCGCCGTCGACGTCCAACGGGCGATCGTCAAACCGGACGGCGACGGCGCCCAAGCCGAGTGCGTCACCATCAAAAAGAAACCAAAGTGCGAGTGTTGCGTCATACAATAATATTGATCCGGATTGTTATTATTTATACGGTGAGGACGCAAAAAGTCGATCGCCTCTCGCCCCTTCTTTTAACTTTTGAATGGTAAGAGCATTTGTCGCGCAATTTGAGGTGTTTATATTGGAGTAAAAAATCATATACCTATTAACTAATAGGTTCGTTCCTACAAAAAAGTCACTGATTTGTTACCAGTAGGTTTCTGACTCTTCTATTTCGCATGCGCGGTTTATGATTGAATGGTGTAATCAAATTTCCGATTTCTTTACGGAACAGTCTTTACATTTATTACATATTCACCAAGTATCAAACAAAAACAACAAACAACATAACCTAATAATTAACCTAATATTCAGAAATACAAATTAAACCCGAATTAAAAATGCGCTCGCGCCGGATACTAATTCTCTGTACTATCAGCAAATTTTTCTGACTATCACAAAACCAGTCCCTTGAACTGTTGGAACAATAAATTGTTAACCAAATCAGAATCAGAGATGTCTGTGGAGTTTGTTGGAATGCCTAAATTATTACTGCGCAAACTCCTGACGACCACCGACTATTTCTGACTGTTGTAGGAACAAACCTATTATTTTCCTGAGTATGCCTAGGCATATACCTATTAACTAATATACTGCTAACTCCCTATCCATTCCATGAGAGAAAATCGTAGCGATTAAAGAGAGAGATCCGACCCTTTATGGTGTGCTTAGTCGTTTATACGCAAGCGCATTAATTTTAAAAGGACCAATAGCGAGTAGCTGAGGCCTAAAAAGAAAAGAAGGAAAATAATACTTGAAATCGTGTTGAAATTCGGTAACCTGCCATATTTACAAAGGCAAGTCAAAGTCGATTTTAAAAATATATCAAAAAATATACCAAAATAGAAGCTAGCACGTTTCTGACGTTTCAACACGTTTCAACAAGCACACCACAGTATAATGTTTGCTACGGTTTTAGACCAATATTAGCGGTATAGTAGATAATAGGTATATGGTAAAAATACTATTTTTTGACGTAAAAATGACAGTTGAAACTTTCAAAATGACAGTTAGGCGCCATTTTGAATCTTTTTTTCTTATGGAAAGGGGGGTCAAGTGACACCTCGTTTTAAAAGTAATTTCATTCTTAAGTCAACCTCCAAATTTGAAAACATTTTAATAAAACGTATTCACGTGAAGACCAATTTAGTTTTAACCCCCGGGCATATTGATACATTTAATAATTAATTCTGAACGTACTATAAAATGTGTCAATTAATTGTTGCTATGGTTTCATGCTCTGACATTTATTTGTCATATTAAAAGTTGATGAAATTGACAATGGCTCGTTCTTTAAACGAAAAAACTGTCAATTTCATCAACTTTAAATATGACAAATAAATTTCAGAGCCAAGAAACCATAGTAACAATTAATTGAAACATTTTATAGTACGTTCAGAATAAATTTTTAAATGTATCAATATGTCCGGGGGTTAAAACTAAATTGGTCTTCAAGTGAATACGCGTTATTAAAATGTTTTCAAATTTGTGGGTTGACTTAAGAATGAAATTACATTTAAAACGAGGTGTCACTTGAACACCCTCATTCCATAAGAAAAAAAGATTCAAAATGGCGCCTAACTGTCATTTTGAAAGTTTCAACTATCATTTTTACGTCAAAAAAAGAGTATTTTTAATCCAATATAAACAGCCCAAATTTCGCGACAAAAACTCTTACCATTCAAAAGTTAAAGGGGAGGGCGACGGACTTTTGTTCCTCACTGAATTTATACATTACCTAATTATAACAAAAATAATAATAATAATAATTGCGAAAACAAAATCGAAAAAAATAAAATAATTATACATTATTATCGAAATTTTTGATCCCTTTCGGCTCTTTTTTTTCGGTTTTGTTAACTGGTTATGCTCTTCTTGAGGTGTCTGTGATAAGATAACCGAGATGGATTTTTTTTTTATTATTGCGACAAAATGGAATTGCGGGCGGAAAATTGTGGCGAAATCGGGGCCACTTTTTATTTTCGAACGAAAATACCGAAGCCTGCGAAATTTATGCAGAATGATTTTGTTTATGTTACTAAATCTGAGCCGGCGTTTGTGCCACTATCTTATTGGAATTAACTAAATTTTTATTCTATTTTATCTCCTTTATTTACTAATGTTCTGCTAATTAATCGAATTATCCTCTATTTAGAGGAATCTGGAAGGAGTAAGACGGAGTAGGAAGGTGTAGAAAGGTGTCAGAAGGAGTAAGAAGGTGTAGAAAGGTTTATGAAGGAGTAGGAAGGTGTATGAAGGAGTAGGAAGGTGTAGGAAGGAGTAGAGAGGTGTAGGAAGGAGTAAGAACGTGTATGATGAAGTAGAAAGGAGTAGGAAAGTGTAGAAAGGTGTATGAAGAAGTAGAAAGGAGTAGGAAGGTGTAGGAAGAAGTAGGAAGGTGTATGAAGTAGTAAGAAGGTTTATGAAGGAGTAGGAAGGTTTATGAAGGAGTAGGAAGGTGTAGGAAGGAGTAGGAAGGTGTAGGAAGGAGTAGAGAGTTTTAGGAAGGAGTAAGAACGTGTATGAAGGGGCAGAAAGGAGTAGGAAAGTGTAGAAAGGGGTAAGAAGATGTATGAAGGAGTGGAAGGGTGTAGGAAGGAGTAAGAGAGTGTAGGAAGGAGTAGGAAGGTTTATGAAGGAGTAGAAGAAAGTAGGAAGGTATAGGCAGAAGTAATAAAGAGTAAGAAGGAGTAGAAAAGAGTAAAAAAGACAAATAAGGTGTTGGAAGTAGTAGTAAAGTAAAATAAAATAACTCATTCTGTATAAACGAAGATGAAAATTGTAAACCTTATGAAAACCACCTACTAATTAATTAGTAGCGTAAATTCAACAAACACAACATTTTAACTAACGACTAACTAAAATTGCTTATTTTTTTATAATCTTATATAGCTTGATAGAGTAGGATATACGCAAAATAATCTACTTATTATCGCTATTACATGTTCGATATATTTTATTTAATAAGCAATAACACGGCTAAATATCGAGTACAAATGTAATATCAAATTTATTTATTTTTTATTAAAAAAATCGTTATTTTATCGCAGATACACACGACAGCTAAGTGATATTTAAATAAGTGATTTACTATTATCGATACATTTCGAAATCACCTATAACTAAAATGTTTCTGTATAATGTAGTCGATTTGGTATGATCTTTACTTAACCGTTCGACTGCCGACTACGAGTTAACTCGTAGTCCCGGGCTAGAACGCGACCGCTACGAGTTATCTCGTATCTCGGCTCCTCGACGGGTCAATAGGTAAAAATCCACCACAGCGACTAAACTATACCAATTTTTTTTCTATTATAACTTATATAGATAGTGGAAAAGAAAAACAACCAAAATTCAGACTGACAGAGAAAGTGTTATTAAAAAATTTTATGTAAGATATTAAAATTGTTAATAAAAAAAAATGATATCAAATTATTTACATTTTTGTAGATACGTTGTTGTTACAAGCTCGCTTCGAATGAAATCTCGCATATTTAAAAAAAAAATTGCTATGAAAATGTAAGTAATACGTGTTTCGTAGACGATTCTGATACAAATTATATGTCAAATTTGCTTCGAGTAATTTATCTGCTGGACAAACCCGAGATACAGGGTGTCCCAATCAAAAGTAGCCCATTTCATCAGCTTATAATTTAATTATACGGTTTTACTCGTAAGTACAATGGTGCAAGAAGGTGTAAGAAGGAGTAGAAAGGTGTAAGAAGGAGTAGGAAGGAGTAGGAAGGAACAGAAAAGAGTAGGAAGGTGTAAGACGGTTAATAAAGGAGTAAGAAGGAGTAAGAAGGTGTATGAAGGAGCAGAAAGGAGTAAGAAGGTGTATGAAAGAGTAGGAAGGAGTGAGAAGGTGTAGGAAGGTGTAGGAAGGTGTAGGAAGGAGAAGGGAAGATGTATGAAGGAGCAGAAAGGAGTAGAATGGTGTAGGAAGGAGTAAGAAGGTGTATGAAAGATTAGGAAGGAGTAGGAAGGTGTAGGAAGGAGAAGAGAAGGTGTATGAAGGAGCAGAAAGGAGTAGAATAGTGTAGGAAGGAGTAGAAAGGAGTAGGAAGGTGTAGAAAGGAGTAAGAAGGTCTATAAAAGAGTAGAAAGGTGTAGGAAGGAGAAGGGAAGGAGCAGAAATGAGTAGAATGGTGTAGGAAAGAGCAGAAAGATGTATGAAGGAGTAGAAAGAAGTAGGGAAGGTGTATGAAGGAGCAGAAAGGAGTAGAATAGTGTAGAAAGGAGTAAGAAGGTCTATAAAAGAGTAGAAAGGTGTAGGTAGGAGAAGGGAAGGAGCAGAAATGAGTAGAATGGTGTAGGAAAGAGCAGAAAGATGTATGAAGGAGTAGAAAGAAGTAGGGAAGGTGTATGAAGGAGCAGAAAGGAGTAGAATAGTGTAGGAAGGTGTAGAAAGGAGTAAGAAGGTCTATAAAAGAGTAGAAAGGTGTAGGTAGGAGAAGGGAAGGAGCAGAAATGAGTAGAATGGTGTAGGAAAGAGCAGAAAGATGTATGAAGGAGTAGAAAGAAGTAGGGAAGGTGTAAGAAGGAGCAGAAATGTGTAGAAAGGTGTAAGAAGGAGTAGGAAGGTGTAGAAAGCTGATTAAATTAGGCTACTTTTCATTTCGACACCCTGTATTTCTGGTAGTTCTAATGCCAGTTTCGTTTACTTGCCGGTTTTTCTCTACCAACAAAATGCTCTAATCAAAAATAAAAAATAAAATATTCAACCGTTTTCGGGGACAATAACTGCGGAATTGCTCGATGCAAATGCAAAAACTGTTATTAAATATCGAATTTCTTTTACGAACCTTCCTCGAGGTTTTTAATCGAAATGCCATTCGTTAGGGCTTCTTCACACGCTGTAATATATTGCAAGCGATAAGAAAATTTAATGTTTTACTGCAATATTTGACAAAATTTGGGCCGATAATGCGAAAACCTGCAACAATTTGCAATGTATTTATTTGCAATAAAACTAAGCGTTTGAAAGCTCTAATGCATTGTTGCAGAGCTATTTATTGCTGCAATATATCGTGTGAAAACGCTCCAATTGTGTATCTAATTGTGTAAAAATATATAGTACAATTATTTTCGTAAATGAAGAACGATGTCTATAAAGGAACACAAGTGGAATATTCGGAATAACGTGGTAAAACAGTAGAAAAAAGATTCTTTTTTATTGTTTATTTCGTATTACACGTCTAAGTTTAATCCATATTTTTTTTGTATCTTTAGTATGTAATTATTGTTGTTAATATTATTTGTGCGAATGTGTATGATACGATATTTTATTCGGTATGATTTATTATAAGTAAAACTGCTCGAGATATCTTAGCACAAACATAAGATTCCCAGGAATAATAAGGGGTGTTGTTAGATAATTATACTTTTTATTATTCCTGTATAGAGTGGATATTTTTTTATTCAAATAGATAAATGACGTCCCTGTATAGTTCGTGTATGTATATTTAAAAAAAATACAGCAGCTTTTTAATGCTTAACTATTGTATAGAAATTTAGACTGTACATTTTGCATCTCTCGATAGTACTACATTTTGACATTATAGAAATTACAAAATTAATTTTATTCGTTTCTCCTGTATATTATGTATAAAATTAACATTTCATTTGTATACCATGCCACATAGCATTAATATAATTTGTGATGTTCACAATTTCTGGTTTTTATTTACCCAATCCTCGAAACTTTGTTAAACTATAAGATAGTATTGCGACAAAATTATTCTTACGAATAAATAACTGCTAGAACTACTAATTTTATAGTAAATCAACGGATAATTCTATATTTTCTTACCTAAATCTGCCATAATTTCAGTCGAGCACACTAAAATAACTTAATTTAAAAAATTAAGTAAAAAATTTAAATTGAACAATGACAGAATGGATTATTCGAATTACAGGTTTCTGTATTACCGGTCTTAACGGCCATCTTGGTAATTAATTTGTTGATAAAAAAAGAAGAAATAAGTTTAACGAATTAACACAAATTGAATACTCTTATATAACTAACATATAATTAATACCCCTAATATAATTATAAATTTATAACAATATTTGGAACATAATTCAATTTATAAAAGTAATAGACGAAAAAGAAGAATATGACACTTGACATTGACAGTACTTCAGTTGTATATTTCCTGATTTTAGATGTTTTGTTGTTAATTGATCAACGAACTTATTGCTTTATTAGCAGTTTTTAAGTTTATTTGTTAATTTTCTACCGTTTTATAACAATATTTAGATAAGAAAACACAGATTAAACACACAGTGAAATGAAAACACAGTTCGGTTCGGGTTCCGAACGCGACCCGCGAACATATCTATTTCTACTTGTGTAAATGATTTAATGAGGCACAAGAGCACCAACCTTCAGAAATAAACGAATTATTATTAACAAACACGAATGAAACAACGAAAATTAAGCATTCGAGCTGGGTGTGGTTATTTAGCGACAAAAGTTCTCTAGGTTATTATTCTTCTTTTCCACACGTCAATTGTCGTTAGTCACTGAGTGGCCAGTATCGAGTAGGTTATTCGGCGAATGGGCTGCATAGGAATGTTCGTCTGTTACAGTTGGAATTTCGGATATCCAGCCGATTGCGTCACGATCGCGATTCACGATTCACGACGATCGTCCGTTCGAACTTCGAACTTTCTTTTTTCGGTTTCACTAGTCACTAACTCGCCACGATCGGGCGTGCTCGCCTTGTCTCTCTCTTGTCGCTTGTCTGTCACTTTGGATTTCCAAGGAAGACCCGTCCGATGATTGTCTAAATTGACAGTTCCATTTAAACAACACTACTATGAAAATTTGGACGAGCGAACACGTATTTAAGTAAGTAAATCGGGTATTAGAAGGTAGCAGGGTGTAATTTTAGACGTGTTTGTAGCCACCCCTGGGAGACGGTGGCCACTGCAGCCTGGAGGAAGTACCCCAATCCGCATAACACGGCTGTAATCGGTACTGATGTGGTCGAAAGAAAGGTAGTCGATGGCGTTTTGCACACCCACAGATTGGTTAGTTCCATTTGGTACTTTCCCAAATGGGCGCAAGCGGTGAGTACACGAATTTTCGATGCATTTCATTTACTTTTAGGTTATGTTTTTGGTGCCAGTAAATGGACTTTAACCTTGAATTCATTTAGTTACAATTAGGTAATTTTTCGAAAGTTCCTGTTAAATGACGTAGATTTAATTCGAACAAATTTTTAATTACTATTGTAAAGTTCGCAGGACTTAGTTCATAGTGCGAAATTTTTGAGTCCACATTGTCTTATCGTTTAATTCGTCAACATTTTTTAGATAAGGAACTTTTTCGAAATTACACGTGAATAATTGCGTCATATTGGCAATTTTCTCACGACTGTCTAATATTAGAAGGAACACAAATGTTAGGGGGAATTGATGTTTGGCCAAAAAAAAAATGAATTAAACAATTACATTCGTTATGATCAAGTGATCGGAAAATTTTGATATCACCGTAAAAAAACCCTTAGAAAATTTAATTACAAACGAAATTTACTACAAAATACAAAATGTAAAAGAATTTCAAGATTAGTGGTTTTGAATTGATAAGTAGAAAGTATTTTTAATTATTAATTCATTACTAGCGTAGTATTCTTCGTATAATCAATAAACTTATAGTTATAAATTATTCAAGAAAACCCTTATTGACCTCACATTAAATCTACCTCATTCTGATGAAATTATTATTTAATTTAAGGCATTCGAATATCCTATTATTGTCGCATTTTATCCACTAAAATCTAACAAATTTCCAGTTCATTTTCATTACTAGTGTAGTAGGATTCTTCATATAATCAATAACCTTTTAGTTATATATTATTCAGTGCTGCTTGGAGAACTATCTTTATAACCTATTTTATAAACTATATTTGCTTAATTTTCACTAAACATAGGCTTGTCTTGAAGTCTACCGAGTAGAATCCTTTCAGCTCATCTCCAAGGGGTCGATCCACCCCTTTAAATGAGTCGATGAAGGCGAAACAAACTATAATCTTTATTGGATGATTGGAATACTATAAAATTGTCTACAATCGAGCTAAAGATGTGAAATTTTCACTAAACATAGCCTCAAGGCTCGTCTTGAAGTCTACCGAGTAGAATCCTTTCAGCTCATCTCCAAGGGGTCGATCCACCCCTTTAAACGAGTCGATGAAGGCAAAAGAAACTATAATCTTTATTGGATGATTGGAAAACTAAAAAATTGTTTACAATTGAGCTAAAGATGTGAAATTTACACCAAACACAGTCTCAAGGTTTGTCTTGAAGTCTACTGAGTAGCATCCTCCCATCTCACCTCCAAGGGGTCGATCAACCTCTTTAAACGAGTCGATCAAGGCAAAACAAACTATAACCTCTATTGGATGATTAGAAAGCTATAAAATTATCCTATAATAGCATCATTCAATCGAAACGAATCTTCGAAGCCCCCCCTATGGCCTCCTCACGCTTAAGCAGCAGAAATGTCACAATATCCTCTCCAAAACCTCGGCCTAAACCTGCCTAGTTCTCCTCGCGCATTTAGCTAGCATCATCCGACAAAAACCCTCGGTTTAAGCTGATGCCTAGTTCAACGTTCTCCTCGCACCTTTAGCTAGCATCATCCGACAAAAACCCTCATCGGCCCACCTCCCATCATGCATGAACAATCACCATCGCATTCCACCCAGCTAAAATCACGCCGCCCGGTGTTCCAGCTCATCGGCTCCGCCAAAATCTGCTACGCCAGCGAGCGCTCCGAGGTGAACCCCTCGTCGCGCCTCATGGTCCTCAAGACCATCAACCTGACCTTTTGCCGGCACATCGCCGTCGACGAGACGTTGCGCTACACCCCCGATCCATCGGATCCCCGCAGGACGCTGCTCAAGCAGGAGGCCGTGGTGACGGTCAAAGGGGTGCCGCTCACCAACTACATGGAGGACCTGCTCACCAACAAGATATCGAACAACGCCGGCAAAGGGCGGCAGGCCATGGAGTGGGTGATCAACCGGCTGAACGACGAGGTGAAGGACCTGACGAGGAGCACCGACGAGATCTTGTGCCAGACGAAGAGGTCGCTGGACGACATCGCCAGTTCGGCCAAGAAGCAAATGGGCGATATATCGCAGAAGGCGAAGCAGAGCTTCGACGATATGCATTCGATGAGGCTTAGTTAATTCGATGGTGCTGTTGAATAGGTAATTATTATTGTGTATGATTTGTTGGAGTAAGGCACCGATGGACGCTTTTTTTTGCCTGGATGTTATACGGTGGTTTCCATTTCGTTCGATCTTTGAGGATTGTACAGGTTGGTTCGAGTGTGTAGGTAGGTCGATTGAAATGGAAGCGTTATATCGAATCACGGATCACTATTTATTGTTATCGATTTGCGGCAGTTACCATTTTTTTTTCATTTGCAATTGTAAACTTTTGGACGAAATTAACGCAATGTCATAAATTTGCCACGTTTTTTGTTTGAATTTATGATCCGATTTGGATGATTTTTTTTTGTATTATAGGTTGGTTCCTTGACAATGTCCTCATTTTCGCTGTTTATGATAAAATGTTCTTTTGTCATTATACCGGATGTAATACAAATGTAATGTTTTTTTCCGAAAATTCGTATCACCTTGTGGAGTATACTAGCAAACGAGACTTGTAGCAGTTGACATTAGACGGTAAATCCATCTTTTGCTAACATTTTCTTTTTTGGTTTACTTTATTATCTCTGCTATTAAAGGAGATACGCCGTTTTATAGCGTAACATGTTTTAATAGACTGTATTATTCAAAACATTCATTGTTAAATGTTTTCAAGTAGGCTATGGGCCATTTTTGACATTTCAAGCGATGTGTCAAAATCGAATACATTATTTGTTATTTTAATCTTGAAAAATGAATCGTCCAAAAAATTTATCGACCGAATAAGCAGTAAGAGCCTTAACTTTGGTGGATGAGGGCTATTCAATGAGTCATATTGCAATGGAGCAATAATTCGAATTAGAGGTGAACATACACGTTATTAGCATTATAAATCCATTAATTTTATTGTTTTTGATTTATGTTCTTTTCTTGTTTCGCTCGTTTCCAAAAAAAATGTGTTCAATAAACCCTTAATTTTACTTTATGAAATAAAGTAATTCGTTAATTTTGTTTTCATTCATCAAAGCGAGCAGGAGTTATTTTGTTACACATTTAACAATGAATGTTTTGAATAATACAGTCTATTAAAACATGTTACGCTATAAAACGGCGTATCTCCTTTAATAACAGAGATAATGAAGTAAATCAAAAAAGAAAATGTTGACAAAAGATGGATTTACCGTCTAATATCAACTGCTATAAGTCTCGTTTGCTGTTATACTCCACAGGGTGATACGAATTTTCGGAAAAAACATTACATTTTTATTACACCCGGTATAATCGAAAAGGAACATTTTATCATAAGCAAAGAAAATGATGACATTGTCAAGGAACCAACCTATAATACAAAAAAAAAATCATCCAAATCGGATCATAAATTCAAACAAAAAATAGCATAAAAAATGTGGCAAATTTATGATGTTGCGTTAATTTTGTCCAGGAGTGTATTAGCATTTAATAGGAAAATTTCAATCGCCCCCCCAACCCCCTGAAACGATCGATTAAAGTGCGCGTTAGTTCAAATACGAGGTGCGACGGAAAAGTAACGAGACTTTTATTTGTCAAACTTTCTACAGTTTTCAAACAGTAGTCTCTGGAGGTCTTCAACCGGTCAGGTCTTCAGCACCTCAGTTACACTCAATCGTGGCGTCCTTTGAAGATATTTGATAATTATATTTTATATTTATAATTAATTTATAAGGAAAAAGTCACAGGGAACGATGTCAGGCGAATCGTGGAACGCCTCGAGGTTAAAATTCTGTGAAATTGAGGATGTTATGAGATAATTGACCTGTTTTCTGAGCCTTTTTCCTGGAAAAGTACATTCTTAGCAAAAGCGCGGCGTTGCCAGATCGCTTGTTGCGGTGTTGCTAGTCTCGATAATTTTCCGCCACACCTCACAAAACCCGATTATATCGACATTCCTCGTGACGGATGTTTCTGTTTTTTTTTGTAAGATTAATCTCGTTCGTGTAACTTATTGATTAAAAGTCTGAAAGAAAAACGTATCGTCTTATTTTCACGCCTATATTTACAAACAAAGTGATTTATTCGATAACATGTAATACAAAAAATTTTTTTTAAATGCATCTAAAATAGGTATCAAAAATTTCCCCGTACAAGTATTATAGAAACGGAAAATGAGAAACCTTAGCGATTTTTATAGGGAATTTACAGCGAACTTTAAGTACAAATAAATTCGAGAATGTTCGATCACCGGTGAAAAGATAACGATTTTTTTTTCCGCGATATACAGGGTGTCCCAATAGTGCGGTAAAACCCATTTACTCAGTTATTATAATAGATACGAAAAAATGATAAATAGGAAAAATGTTAAGCACCTTTAGGCGCACAATTAGAATAGAATAACTAAAAATTTAGTGTACCTGCTAATGATATTTGATTAATCATTAATCGATATTTAATTTTCTACTTATATTTGGCAAAAAAAGGTCGACAACATCATTGGTAATTAGATCAAAATGAAATTATAACATCAAAAACTGGACATTTTTTTAATAAAACTGAAAATATCTCAGAAACGGTGACAGTTAGGTATAGGGAAATGTTATGAAAAAAGATTCAGTAAGAAATAGACTTCCCATTGGATATTATTAATACAGGGTGTTCCATTTAAATTAAGCGAGTAATTATTATGTTTGCGTATTGACTCACCCTGTATACAAATTGTAATTTTGTCAGAATGTAACTATTTTTTGTGAAAATAGACCATTTTCAAAAAGTGCCGACACAGAAAAATTCACATTATCTGATACAGATTCTGATATACAGGGCCTTGAAATCATGTCGATTTGAATATAAAAATGGCCATAACTTTTTAAATACTCAGTATAGTCATATGAAATCTTATATTGAGAAACTCGTGAAAACGAGCTGAAATCGAAAATGAAATAAAAAATATATCATTGCCTTTAAAAAAAGGTATGTTTGGTATGGCTTCGATTTATGGGCCACCCTGTATATTTCGAAATAATTTTAAATTGTGCGCCTAAAGGTGCTTAACATTTTTCCTATTTATCATTTTTTCGTATCTATTATAATAACTGAGTAAATGGGTTTTACCGCACTATTGGGACACCCTGTACCTAATATGTACAGCTTAAATTTATTCCTTCTTGGGTAAGAATTAACTTCGATATTGCACTCGATAAACTCGAAATCAATTCCGAACAGCCGGTTCTTTTTGCCTAGCTACATGATCATCGTATCCATCCCCATCATCTACAACAAAAAAGAATTGTTATGTTAATCACTAATACTATACAGGGTGTGTCACGACCCAATTTTATTAAAATCGGATAAGTAGTTTCCAACATACAGATAGTTTAAGCTCGTCGTGACACACCCTGTAAAGCTGTAAGGCCCTAATTCGTAGGGTCATTCTCGAGATTTCTTTTTTACGGTCGCCTTTCGTCTTTTTCGACCGGGAAAAGTATCGAATCCTATGAAAACGCACACGCCCGATCGAAATATCGACGTTTCGACTCGATACTATTTCATCTTCAGTGTCAAATGAGCGAAATAAACTTTTTTTCGGTTTTTCGCACTTTTCTCGAATCGAGTTCGTTCGATTCGCTTCAAAATTTCCCAAAAGATTCTCCATCGGTTCTCTCGACTTTCGTATACAGCCGTTTTCCAGGAAAAAATCGTTTTTGGGAAAATATCGTGGAAAATAGATTTCGAGAGTTTTCTAAAAATCGAAATAACTCGTAAACGGTAAGATTTACGAACATTTTTCATACTTGCAAAATAATTGAAAATTCTTTTTTCCATTCAACAAAAGAGACCGGGTGTTTTTCCGATCCGTACTTTTTGAGTTTATCCAAAAAAACCGTCTTTAAGTTATCTTCAAGTTTGTAACGCGAAAACTCGGAAACTATCATCTTTTAGAAAATTTTGAAAGCGAAAATTTATAGATACGACATTTTTCTATCTACCAAATTTTTTTCCCATTTTCTTTATTATTTATCGAATTATAAAGATTTTTCGAAATCGATGCATATTTTACGGCTGTCGTCGAACCGGAAGAGAAAACTTTCAGATCTACGATGACGTACGATCATTCCCGAATGAAAGACAAAATGGATGACATTTGCGTTTCCATGGATACGTTGACATTTAATTTGATGTACAGGGTGTTTTTTCATTATGAAAATCGGAAAAATTGATATACGGGGCGTTTTTTTATCTTAAGTGAAAAATTATTTTAAATTAAATTGAAATATAGTAGAGGGCGATTCGTTTTTAAGGAAACGTTCAGAGCCCATTATTGCAATTACCAATAACTATTTTAACTATTTCGAACTGTTCGAAATTTCATAGAATTCTCAGAAATCATTTTGAACCATTTTAAAATTTACTACTACCGTTTGAAACAGTTCAAAACTAACTTAAATCTATTTAGAAATTATCCTGAATCATTTTGAAACACTTTATAAACGACTACTTATATTCGAAACAGTATCACTTAGAATTGTCCTGAATCATTTTGAACCAGCTTAGAATTGACTAATTGGCTTTATAAACGAATTAGGACCATTTAAAGCAGCTCTGGGCTATCTAAGAACTACTGTACTCTATTTTACACTCATCTCCTCCATCCTACCCTTCTCTACACCACTCTACTCTACTCCACTCCATTCTACTCTATTCTATTCAACTGTAAGGGTAGGAAACAAGAATGAGAAAAAATGTGATTTTCCGAACAGGTTACGAAACAAGAAACAACAACCGGTTAAACCGGTTAATTAGCCAGAAAGACAAAATGGATGACTTTTGCGTTTCCATGGATACGTTGACATTTAATTTGACGCACAGGGTGTTTTTTCATTAAGAAAATCGAAAAAATCGCAAAATCGGAAAAATTGAAGGCCAGAGCCCCTCCCGAGCTGCCAAGCGAGTCTCACGATAACAACCGCCTAAATTAATTTAAATTTACCATCGTCGTTTTCCTCGAGCTGAACATCGTTCATCTCTTTGTACTCCCCTTGGTCCTGCTCGTAGTGCTTCTTGCCCGGGAGCTTCTCGGGCTTCTCCGCTTGCTTCATTTGCTCGTTGTCGAATTGCAACCCGTTCGCCGGCGCGTCGAACACCTCCTGCGCCCCGTTCTCCCTATCAGCGTCGCCTTTGGGCCCCTCGTTGGGCTTCTGCATTTGATTGATATCGTCCATTTTGTTGTTGTACTGGGCGCTGTCCTTGGCGTTTTGATAGCGCGCGTTCACGGGGGGCTCCTCGTCGTCCTTTCTGTCGGGCACCGCGACTACTCCGTCGGGCAGTTTGCCGTCCTTCGGGGCCGTTTCGGGGGTCATCGAAGGCAAGAGTAAAGGTCTGGCCGCTCCGAGATTGGCTTTGGAGGGTTTGGGGGCGATTAAATTGGACGAGGTGCTGCTCGACGAAGGGATTTTGAACGGTTCGTTGTTGGGTTGGGGCAACACCGGCTTGTCGTTTTGTTGTTCGTCGGCTTCGGGCGATTGTTGGGCCGGTTTCGGTTCGAGCAGGGTGTCTTTCGTACCGTATTTTTCCTGGAATTAGAGTGGTTAATCGAGTACAACGACGCCTACGGTGGGTACCTTTAAATGGAGTATGTCCGATTTCAGTTCTTTGTTCTCGTTTCTCAATCGATCGAGTAGTTCGTTATCGTTTTTATTTTTCATTTGATCTTCTAGCTGCTCCTTTTCGCGGGCGATCGCTTGGCAATGGGCCTAAAAATGAGCGAGTTGAAGATGTAATTGTGTAAGAAGTATTCGAGAAGCACCTGAAGATTATCTTTAGACGATTTGATTTTCTTCTGTTCCTCTAACAATTCGCTGATTCTCGCTTCTAAATTATTAATCTCCTCCTGTTCTTGCTTCTGAGTTTTGGCAGTCTCTTCTTTGAAATCATCGTATTGAGTCTGCGATGTAATTTACGAGTAAAAATGTGGTTCGTATATCATCTCTAAAGCATACCTGTAGTAAATTAAAATGCTGTTGTAACGATCCTAATTTTAGTTTCATATCGTTGGAATCCCTCTCGTATTTGCTGCGTTCTTCTTTCAACTGGTTTTCGAGGTTCGCTTTGATTTGCTGGTTATCGGCTTGTTCTGTTTTCAAGCTCTTTTCCAACCTCAATTTGTAATCCGAAATGACTGTAAACACGCGGAAAAATTAATCGAAACACCGCGGGAAATATGAAACGGCTCACCTTGCAATTGCGTGGACAAATTCTCCTCCTGTTGATGGCACAAATCGTTGGATTTCTTCACATCGTCCAATTGTGATAAAGTGTTATTATAACAGGCTATCACGCCGATTAGGACCAATATTCCGCAAATATAAAAGAACACTTTGGCCCGCGTGCCGCGTATTACCCTAGAAGTGGTCATTACATTTATTTAATGTACTTTTTACCTACCACTTTCACTGATTTGTACACATAAATTTGTCGTATTGGCAAAAAAACTATTGTTTTGACGTTTCGGTTTCATATGACATCTGTCATTCGTGTCAATTTGGAGACTATGCTTGGTGGAGTATTCAGCTACTGGATTGTCGAAAATGTCAATAAATGAATAAATAAAATTGTTCCAGGATATTATTGTGATTATTTCGAAAAGACGATATAGATGCGAGAAAGAAACATTTACAAAGTTCTAATAACGTGAAATTGAGGCACATGCATTAGTCATTATTCTTCTTCTCTGTTACACATCTATTAATGCTGTCATTTTGGTGACTCCGCTTGGTTGAGTATTCAGCTACTGGTAATAAATAACAAAAATTGTTCCAAGATATTATTGTGATTATTGCGAAAAGACGATATAGATGCGAGAAAGAAACATTTACAAAGTTCTAATAACATAAAATTGAATCACATGCATTAGTAATTCTTCTTCTTTGTTACACATCTATCAATGCTGTCATTTTTGTGACTCCGCTTGATTGAGTATTCAGCCAACTGATCTGTCAATATAACCTCAAAATAAAGAACGGAAGCGTAATACAAATCGAATGCAATAAATACTAAAATGGGCCGGAGATATTATTGCGATTATTGCGAAAAGAGCTTCATAGACGACATAGACGCGAGAAAGAAGCATTTACAAAGTTCCAATCACGTGAAACTGAGACACATGCACTACGAGGCTTGTAGAGGTAAATACCGGCGAATTTCGTTCGTATTTTTCTACTTTATATCCTTCCAACAGATCCGGAGACGATTTTGAGGGAAGAGCTACTAAAGGCGTCTTGCAGGCGGTTTTTCCAAGGCGGCGGTTGCCCTTTCGAGGGCGTTTGCAGGTACACCCACTACTCCCCCGAGCAGCTCTGCGAGCTCCGACAGAAAGGTAATCGAAGCATTCTAACATCGAAACAACTTCGTTTTAATACATTCGAATTTAGTGGAGAACATACAAGAAGAACGAAGGCGAAAGAACGAAGAATCGCTCGATGTAGCCCCGCCGGAGAGCTGGGTGCAGAAATACAAAGAGAACAACAACAAAGAGGACAACGATGACGTGCACATCTTCTGGTCGTATCCCAGGCATCTGGAGAGCAGGACGGACTTGCCCCCTTCGTTGGTTAAATTCAAACCGGAGCATTTCTACGACGATAACCTCGAGGAATGGGGCAATTGAAACGGATTCGCATTCGAGTGGGAGTTTTATTTTTTTAAACGATACATTTCGGTTGCCGAGAAAGTACAGGTAATAGTTGCGCGATAAATGGATCATGCGATGAATTTGTTTATGCGCATTTTCGAATTGAAAGCTTTCACGAAGCTTCGTGTTACTTTGAAATTGTTAAGTTATACAGCAATCGGTTTTTTTTTTGTACACACAAAGCGTTATTATACATTTTATTTTCCGGAGATAGAGCTATGTGGTGTACAGTTTAACAAAGTGCGTTTACAAAGTTTATTTAACATTATTACGAATGTAAAGGTTAATTTACAATTCCACCAAATTGTACCAAGAATATGCAAGTTTTCTTATCTCGATCGTTTATCGAATGTACTTTAATGTAACTAAATGGCGTTTTAATAGAATTTTGCGATGATGATATTTTTGTTCGTTTTAATTGCACTATTCAAGGCAATCGGAGAAGAAAAAAGCGTAAAAAAAGAATCGTTTTTAAGTAATTTGTAGGTATAAATACTTTTACTTTATCTAAAAAAGGTACAGATTTATGAAAGGATCACAAGTTTTTTTTTTTTTGTTTTAATATATATTTTCTTCTATCGATTCGGTTTAATAGGATTGGAATGTACGTATTAGTATGATAAAAATTGACAAAATCGAACCTTCTCTACTTTAATAAACATTAGGTGGTTTCTTGATTCGTACATTCTTGTTTCGTACCGTAGGCTAATTAACCGGTTTAACCGGTTGTTGTTTCTTGTTTCGTAACCTGTTCGGAAAATCACATTTTTTCTCATTCTTGTTTCCTACCCTTACAGTTGAATAGAGTAGAGTAGAGTAGAATGGAGTGGAGTAGAGAAGGGTAGGGTAGGATAGCCTTACAGTTGAATAGAGTAGAGTAGAATGGAGTGGAGTAGAGTAGAGTGGTGTAGAGAAGGGTAGGATGGAGGAGATGAGTGTAAAATAGAGTACAGTAGTTCCTAGATAGCCCAGAGCTGCTTTAAATGGTTCTAATTCGTTTATGAAGCCAATTAGTCAATTCTAAGCTGGTTCAAAATGATTCAGGACAATTCTAAGTGATACTGTTTCGAATATAAGTAGTCGTTTATAAAGTGTTTCAAAATGATTCAGGATAATTTCTGAATAGATTTAAGATAGTTCTGAACTGTTTCAAACGGTAGTAGTAAATTTTAAAATGGTTCAAAATGATTTCTGAGAATTTTATGAAATTTCGAACAGTTCTAAATAGTTAAAATAGTTATTGGTAATTGCAATAATGGGCTCTGAACGTTTCCTTAAAAACGAATCGCCCTGTACTATATTTCAATTTAATTTAAAATAATTTTTCACTTAAGATAAAAAAAACGCCCCGTATATCAATTTTTCCGATTTTCATAATGAAAAAACACCCTGTACATCAAATTAAATGTCAACGTATCCATGGAAACGCAAATGTCATCCATTTTGTCTTTCATTCGGGAATGATCGTACGTCATCGTAGATCTGAAAGTTTTCACTTCCGGTTCGATGGCTGCCGTAAAATATGCATCGATTTCGAAAAATCTTTATAATTCGATAAATAATAATTAGGAAAATGGGAAAAAAATTTGTTAGATAGAAAAATGTCGTATATATAAATTTTCGCTTTCAAAATTTTCTTAAAGATGGTAGTTTCCGAGTTTTGACTTTACAAACTTGAAGACAAATTAAAAACGATTTTTTTGAAAAAACTCAAAAAGTACAGATCGGAAAAACGCCCGGTCTCTTTTATTGGATGGAAAAAAGAATTTTCAATTATTTTGCAAGTATGAAAAATGTTCGTAAATCTTACCGTTTATGAGTTATTACGATTTTTAGAAAACCCTCGAAAACTATTTTCAACGATATTTTCCCAAAAACGATTTTTTCCTGGAAAACGGCTGTATACGAAAGTCGAGAGAACCGATGGAGAATCTTTTGGGAGATTTTGAAGCGAATCGAACGAACTCGATTCGAGAAAAGTGCGAAAAACCGAAAAAAAAGTTTATTTCGCTCATTTGACGCTGAAGATGAAATAGTATCGAGTTGAAAATTTTTAATTACTTCAAAACTAGTAGGTTTAGGTATAGGGAAGTAAACATGACCTTCCCTTATTTTTGACCGCTGATTTCATTTACATAGAAAAAACTGGGTGGTTCCATTTAAAAAAAATGAAGAAATTTGATATTTTTGAAGTTCAACTTTACGCATGTTTTGTACACACCCTGTATAAAATAAAAAGTTTTTCAACGCAAGTTCAAATACCTTTGACCTTTCTAGTAGTCACTTTACAGAAACAATTTCCACATCTTTAAGGGATCCCCGTAAAAAAAATAATTTATAAGGATCTGCATCGGTCAAATTTTTCAAACAAAAATTATTAACTCAAAAAATATGCATTTTTGAAAAAAGTATTTTATACAAAAGTACCCTAAAATTTCACGTAGATTTCGAAAATATATTAATATACAGGGTGTTCCATTTAAAATAACCAAGTTGATGCCTACTTCCGGTATATCCGGAAGTGGTACGACTGTCAAAATATTTTTAAGAGATTCGTCTTATTACATAACATATAAATACCAAATATTATTTAAATCGGATAAGTAGTTTCTAATATACAGATAGTTTTAACTCGTCGTGGGACACCCTGTAGAGTATTAATTAGATATTAATCGTAGTACACGAAACGCTAATTTTCCGTACAGCGTACGAAACAAGAACAAGAAAATCTAACATTATAAAGACGACGCCGTCGAAATGGGTTAATTCTAATCGATTAATCTACGTTTTTTTATTTTGCGAATGAAAACCGAACTCGAATCCGTCCGAAACCATTTCGCGCTCTAAAACAGCTTTGGAAACATCAGAGAAAGGTCGCGAATTTCGTCGCCTCCCGACTAACAAAAAAAATTAGAAAAAAAAAATTAATTATTTATTCGTCCTCGGGCTTGTTGCCGTCCTTGCGCGTCATGTGCCCCCTGAAAGAGGCCTGGATCTTCACCGCTGCTTTATTCAATTCCGGATCCGTTAAATCTATATCCACTTCTTCTTCTTCTTCCTCATCCTAAACGAACAAACAAAATTATCATTAGAAAGCCTCTTAGATCATATGCAGGGTGTTCCTGACAGTGTGGGAAATCTCTCGGATCCATATAGAACTTAAGAAAATAGGATGAGAAGTTCCTATAAAGTTTTTCCCTACAGGCCCTCCCTACGAAAACAGCTGCTCGATTACTTATTTGTAGTAAAAGAAAAGTAGAAATAAGAAATAGCTATTAGACATTTAGCAATGTTGATGCGTCCTTTTCTGGCACTGGCATTGACACTATGACATTTGACATCTGCTTCATAACTGTCATGGCGTCGTATTATTATTATATTTGGATTTTTGATTATTGGATTGGTTTGTGTTTAGTGTTTGCGGTTTATACATAACACTGAGGTAAACAACAAGCACCTTAAAACAGTTTTGAAACATGAATATTTAAATTTGGCGCTAACTATATACGTCAAAATTGTTAAAGGCTTCAAGACAAAGACACACCGTTAGAAACTAGCGAGTGTCAAACAAGGACGGGTTATAAAAGTACGTCGTGAATATGTTGACAACAGAGTTTACCGCTGTCAACTCATCCACGTTAGTATAAAGGGTGTCCCTGAAAGTGTGGGAAATCTCTCGGATCCATATAGAACTTGAAAAAATAAGATGAGAAGTTCCTATAAAGTTTTTCCCTACAGACCCTCTATACGAAGATATGAGTCCTTGAAGGGCGCCACTGGAAATAGGTTTTCCTTAAATATCTTCTAAAGATCTAAAAACAACAAACGGGTAATTTCACTGTCAAACACCCTGTATGTAAGAACAGTCTTTTAAGAACCTTTTGCTTTAAAAAAAATGAAGCGATTGCTTCAAGGTATGTGTATAAAAAGAAGCGAAGGAAGAGAGGTTTTGCTTCCATTATCCTGCTGTCGCTTTAAAGCAAAAGATTTCGTGGTTTCCGTATTTATATAAAAAGCATTTGCTTAAAAAGAATAGGATTTGCTTGTAAAAATGGAATCTATCGCAGGTTGTAACGTAAAATTTTTGTGTATTTGGCCGTGTTTCCTCAGTTTGTTATGGTTGAAAGGATGCATTTACGTTAAAACTGTCTAGAACCATTTAGAACGCTCCAAAATCATCTAGAACTGTTTAGAAGCATTAGGAACTGTCTAGGTCAATCTAGAAAGCTTTAAAATCATTTAGAACTGTCTAGATCCTTTTAGAAGTGTTTAGAATCATTTAGAACGTTCTAGAATTATTTTGAACTGCCTAGAATCTTTTAGAATGCTCCAGAGTCATCTAGACCAGTCTTGAATCATTTAGAATAATTTAGAATGCTCCAGAGTCATTTAGACCAGTCTTGAATCATTTAGAATAATTTAGAATGCTCCAGAGTCATTTAGAACAGTCTTGAATCATTTAGAACGTTCCAGAATTATTTAGAACTGCCTAGAATCTTTTAGAATGATCCAGAGTCATCTAGACCAGTCTTGAATCATTTAGAATAATTTAGAATGCTTCAGAGTCATTTAGAACAGTCTTGAATCATTTAGAATAATTTAGAATGCTCCAGAGTCATTTAGAACAGTCTTGAATCATTTAGAACGTTCCAGAATTATTTAGAACTGCCTAGAATCTTTTAGAATGATCCAGAGTCATCTAGACCAGTCTTGAATCATTTAGAACTGCCTAGAATCTTTTAGAATGTTCCCGAGTCATCTAGACCAGTCTTGAATCATTTAGAATAATTTAGAATGCTTCAGAGTCATTTAGAACAGTCTTGAATCATTTAGAATAATTTAGAATGCTTCAGAGTCATTTAGAACAGTCTTGAATCATTTAGAATAATTTAGAATGCTCCAGAGTCATCTAGACCAGTCTTGAATCATTTAGAATAATTTAGAATGCTCCAGCGTCATTTAGACCTGTCTTGATTCATTTAGAACAGTTTAGAATAATTTAGAATGCTCCAGAATTATTTAGAACTGCCTAGAATCTTTTAGAATGATCCAGAGTCATCTAGACCAGTCTTGAATCATTTAGAACAGTATTGAATCATTTAGAATAATTTAGAATGCTCTAGAGTCATTTAGACCTGTCTTGATTCATTTAGAACAGTTTAGAATAATTTAGAATGCTCCAGAGTCATTTAGAACTGTCTTGAATCATTTAGAACGTTCCAGAATTATTTAGAACTGTCTAGAATCTTTTAGAATGCTCCAGAGTCATCTAGACCTGTCTTGAATCATTTAGAATAGTTTAGAATAATTTAGAATGCTCCAAAGTCATTTAGAACTGTCTAGATTAATCCAGAACGCTCTAGAATCATTTAGAACTTTTTAGTATAATCATTTAGACTCGTTTAGACTAGTTCGACCTTTTTTTCTTACATTTTTTGCTTCTACCTTTTACCTACTTCAAAGTAAATGCTTAATTTTTGTAAATACGGACGAATATCACACCCTGTATACTACTAAAAGATAACAAACTAATTATGGTACTAACGCGTCCTTTCCCCTGGGAAGTACCGGACTCCTCGTCGTTCTTCTTGCCCTGCTTCCTGGTCATGTGGCCCCTGAAGGAGGCCTGGATCTTCGTGGCGGCGTGGCAGAGCTCTGAAAATTATATAGCCTACAATTAGATACGTTTTTCCCGTGTCTAGAACCGTTTAGAACGCTCCAGAATCATTTAGAACTGTCCAGATCCATTTAGAATGATTCATAGTCGTTTAGAATGCTCCAGAATAATTTTGAAATGTCTAAAACAGTCTAGAACGCTCCAGAATCATTTGGAACTGGCTAAAACAGTCTCGGAACGCTCTATAATCATTTAGAATTTAGATTCTTTCATTGTCAGGCCGAGTACTTTTCAAGCTGTGGGTGCAACAAAGACAACTTCAATTAGACACTTATAAAGAAAAAAGAAAGAGTGCAATTATATCATTGCAACTTTTTACTCTGACAACTGTTATTTTAATAATCTTTCTTTGTTCAACTAATAGAAATACCCACGTTGCAATGTTTATACAACTGTCCAGATTTTTAATGCACCATATTTAATGCTTTTTTTTGCCAAATTCGCGTTTTTTTATCTAACTTTTTGACCATTTTTGTTTAGTTAATTTTTGCTTAATTTTTGAATTTTTGACATTTTAAGGCGAAAGGGGTTTTTGTCAAATTTTGGCATATTTCGCCCAAAATCATTTAGGACTACCCAGAACCATTTAGAACGCACCAGAAGCATTTAAAACGCTTCCGAATCATTTAGAACAGTTTAGAACCATTTAGAACGCTTCAAAAATATTTAGAACTATATAGGACCGTTTAGAACAATCCAGAAATATTTAGAACTATGCACAATCATTTAGAACGCTACAGAAATGTTTTGAACTTTTATTTATAACGCTTTAGTAAAGTTTAGAACTTTCTAGAACCATTTAGAACGCTCTAGATACAATTAGAACTATGTAGAATCATTTAGGACGCTCAAGAAACATTAAAGAACAATCTAGAACCATTTAGAACTTCTCCAGAAACGTTCAGAGCTATCTAGAACCATTTAGAACGCTCAAGAAACATTAAAAACAATCTAGAACCATTTAGAACTTCTCCAGAAACGTTTAGAACTATCTAGAACCATTTAGAACGCTCTAGATACAATTAGAACTATGTAGAATCATTTAGAACGCTCAAGAAACATTAAAAACAATCTAGAACCATTTAGAACTTCTCCAGAAACGTTTAGAGCTATCCAGAACCATTTAGAACGCTCAAGAAACATTAAAAACAATCTAGAACCATTTAGAACTTCTCCAGAAACGTTTAGAACTATCTAGAACCATTTAGAACTTCTCCAGAAACGTTTGGAACTTTCTAGAACCATTTAGAACGCTCTAGAAACATTAAAGAACAATCTAGAACCATTTAGAACTTCTCCAGAAACGTTCAGAACTATCCAGAACCATTTAAAACCTAAACGCCCGGAGAAATCCCGCGAAGTTTCCCAATCGCCGGATAATGTTAATTGCTAATCTAGATACTAATGAACTACGAGAACAACGCTAATAATCGATCACCCTGTATACAGGGTAGTGCAACGTGTGTTTTTTTTTTTTTTTTTTTTCGTTTTAAAACAGCGAATTCCGCCGGAAATGCCATAACAAATTAATTCCGGGCGACCTTTCGCGAAACGTAAGGCCAATAATGCACAAATCACCGCTTTGTTAACGCCCGGAATTTATTTTGGGGGGGGAGTTCGAACGTCGAGCGAGCCATCCTCGGTGTGCTAATTGCACTGGACACCTGCCAAGTTTTATACAGGGTGTTCCTAAACATCGTGCACATCCGAAAGGTGGTGATTCTCTTGGCTTATTTCATTACTAAAAGTCACGGTCCTATACAGGGTGTTTCATTTGGGAATGGGCAATATTTTAACCCTATACAGGGTGTCTACTATAAGAACCGCCAAACTTTAGGAGGTGATTATACAAGTAATTTTGAAATGTCCTATAACACTTTTTTGAAAAGTCGATAGTTTCTTTTTTATTTAACATTTCATTATTTTAAATTTTTTTTGGATTTTTTCCAAAAAGACCGAAATATCACATTTATTCGTATAGTCACATTAATTTTGATCATATACCGTAAAAGTGCATTTAATTTGCTATAAAAATAGTATTCTTCACATTTCTTTCATTTTTTTTATACAGAATCACTAATTAAATTTTTGGAGATTTTTATTTTCGGGATATTCTTGTTTGAACAACTTTGTATTTTATAACATATACCTTTAAAATTTCTACAAAAAAAATTTTACTCAATATCTGAGTATACCTCTTAAAAGCTTATTAAATACAGTAGTTTTTACCAAAAAAAAAAACATGAATTTTATAAAATTATTGGCTTTACTACCATTAAAAGATACATATAATTTTGTTCATTTCATATTCATAACAATTAAATCTTTTATAACACCCCGTATTGATTTTTTTTAAGACTGATAAATACTATTTTTATAGCAAATTTAATGCACTTTTACGGTATATGATCAAAATTAATGTGACTATACGAATAAATGTGATATGTCGGTCTTTTTGAAAAAAATCCAGAAAAAAAATTAAAATAATGAAATGTTAAATAAAAGAGAAACTATCGACTTTTAGAAAAAGTGTTATAGGATATTTTTTGTTCAAAATTACTTGTATAATCACCTCCTGAAGTTTGGCGGTTTTTATAGTAGACAACCTGTATAGAGGTCACCCAGGGCATTACAAAAAACCCATATACTATATGGGTCTTGCGTCCTTTAAAACCGACTTACAGGGTGTTTTTTTTGAATTTGGCCCATTTCTTTCGAAACCTACAACTTTTGAATCACTCAGTATATTTTTTTGATATTTGGCATAGATATTCAATACCTTTCGGACAATTTATTGCCACATTAAAAAATTACAAAATCCAGGTCCGGATTTAGAGAAATTATTAAAATTTGAAAATTTTTCTAAATTTTTCTTTAATAAAACCAGATTTACTTAACACTTTCATGGAAATTCCTGATATAAACCTATTGAACTTGAATTAACATTCACATAAACCAATAAAAATTACAATTACAGATCCGCACTTAATAAAATTAAAATGATTTCAATTCATTTAATAATTAATCATTGATTAATCAATTTTTACATTTCTACATGAAAAAATTCAAAACTTAAACTAAGTAATTTACAAAATTTTTTAAAAAAGATACTAGAATAAGTATTCTTGGAAAAATAGAACAATAAATAAAAAATATGAAAATTAAACAAAAAAATTAACAAAAAACAACTCTAAAACAACTCCTCTCTTCTAAAACGAAGAAATTTGGTTTTTAACCAAATAATTAATAACAAATAACTTTTTTAACCCGATTGTATAGTGCTATAAGGCATTTTATTTGCTTAGTATATGTACCAAATTTCATCATTTTACCTTTACTATTAATGGAATTATTAATAAAAATACCTCTTCGAGAATCCATCTTTAACACCCTGTATACTAATAACCAAGAACATTTCGAAAAAATTACATTTAAGTTTTCGTAATATTTTGAAGTTCTCTACTTGCTCTTAAAGTTTGACCACTTTTTTCAGAATCACCTTGTATATTCAATATAAAAATCTCAAAAACTGCAAGAGTTCTAAAAAAATCTTTATGTTTATTACATTATACAGTGTGTCCACGGATGGGGTTGCCTATAGGAGAAAAATTTGTATTATTCATTTTACGATAAAAAGTCATTGTTTATAAAAATTTTTGCTTCATTTAAAAATTAGAATAACACTGAAAAATCTTAGATTGGATCTACAGGGTGTTGTCAAATTAAGAAAACATGAAAATACCTCAAGAGGAAAGTACCATTATTTTTTATTTTACACAATTTTTTATGAAAGAAAGTTGTTTATAATCTAAAATAAAGCCTGTATACAAATTTGCAAACTTAAATTCAAATTTTGTGTGTCCCTAGCTAAAGTTGACCAGATAAGAAAAATGGTTATTATTAATTTTACGACGAAAAGCCATTTTTTATAAAAAAATTAACTTGTCGTGAAAATGAAATTCACATATCAAAACATTAAATAAGACGTATAGGGTGTTAGTAAATTAAGAAACAGGAAAAAATGTCAAGAAAGAACGAAAGAATTTTTATTATCTTACATTAAGAAAGAATTTATTTATTATCTTACATTATTATTTACAAAAAATGCTTTTAATCTCTCTTTTAATGCTCTCATTGAATGCATTAATGAATAATGAGAGCATAATAATAATTTCTAATAATTTTTCTAGAAAATTAATAATAATTTTCTCTTCTGGTCAACTCCATCCGTGGACACACAAAATTGGAATTTTAATTTGAAAATTTGTATTCAGGCTTTATTTTAGATTATAAACAACTTTCTTTCATAAAAATTTTGTGTAAAATAAAAAATAATGATACTTCTCTCTTGAGGTATTTTCATGTCTCCTCAATTTGACAACACCCTGTAGATCCAATCTAAGATTTTTCAGTGTTATTCTCATTTTTAAAAGAAGCAAAAATTTTTATAAACAATGACTTTTTATCGTAAAATGAATAATAAAAATTTTTCTCCTATAGGCAACCCCATCCGTGGACACACTGTATTTATTAAACTTTCAGTCATGAAATAAGCAAAGGAATCGCCCCCTATCCGATGTGCACGATCATTAGGAGCACCCTGTATAATATATACGGGGGGCGGAACGTTTGTTATGCGAAAAAGTAGTTGTAATTAGAGCCGTCTCTAAAACGCCCGGGAAAAAGTTCCGAAGAAAATAATAGTTCGAATGAGGAAAGAAAATTCGAGGGAAACAGCCGGAAAAAATCAATGCTAGAGGGTTATTAAGGGTTGATGGAATAAATTCGGCATCGAGGGTTTACGTGCTCGAAATATTTTCGTACCCGGCGATTATCTTTCCAATCGAAAATTCTAAATATTGTACCCTCGAAATTTGCCCCCTCTTGCTCTAATCACAGCTCCGGACAAATTACATGTTTAAATATAAGGATGTGATTGGTCAAATTGATGAAATATAACCCCGATTATTTTTTTTCGAAATTATTTTCGAATTCTCGTGACGTCACCGGATGATCCAACCTTTCGCTTTATGTGAAAGAAGATCTGTAAAGACGAGAGAGTGCGAATACAATTATTATTTCCCTAAAGTTGTATTGAGCTCGACTATTTTTTCGAAATTATTTTCCAATTTTTCACTGCAATCTTGTGACGTCACCTGACGATCCAACCTTTGACGTTATCGTCATTTGACAGCAAAATAAAGGAAATAAATAATTCTCTGCAAATACGAGAGAGTATAAATAAATTATTATTTCCCAAAAATTAAGATTATTTTGAACTCAACCATTTTATTTTCCAATTTTTCACCGCAATCTTGTGACGTCACCGGTTGATCCAACCTTTGACGTTATCGTCTTGTGACAGCAAAAAAAATGGAATAAATAATTCTCTGCAAATACGAGAGAGTATAAATAAATTATTATTTCCCAAAAATTAAGATTATTTTGAACTCAACCATTTTATTTTCCAATTTTTCACCGCAATCTTATGACGTCACGTCACCGGACGATCCAACCTTTGACATCGTTATCGTTACGCGAAAGAAGAAAAAAAATTAATAGAACTAAATAATTCACACAATATAAAGTGTGAATAAATCTTTTTGGTTCTCTCGACGGGGCGAAAATGGACACGCTCGGAGGCGGTGCGAGAGTGAAATAACATCACAAATCGATTGTCGGGAGCGGCAGAAACTCACCTGGATATATCTCCGGCCATTTCTACGGCCTCGATTCGCCTTTGAAGTGACGAAAATAGCCCATCGCAGATCGGTCATAAGGCTCGATAAATCCCTTCCGATATACAGGGTGTCCCACGACGAGTTAAAACTATCTGTATATCGGAAACTATTTATCCGATTTAAATAATATTTGGTATGTATATGTTATGTAATAAGATGAATGTCCTTAAATTATTTTGACAGTCGTACCACTTCCGGATATACCGGAAGTAGGCGTCAACTTTGTTTTTTCAAATGGAACACCCTGTATATTAATTTATTTTCGAAATCTACGTTAAATTTTAGGGTACTTTTGTCTAAAACATTTTTTTCAAAAATGCATATTTTTTGAGTTATTAATTTTTTTTTTTGAAAAATTTGACCGATGCACACCCTTATAAATTATTTTTTTACGGGGATACCTTTGAAGATATGGAAATTGTTTCTGTAGGGTGGCTACTAGAAAAGTCAGAGGTATTTGAACCTGCGTTGAAAAACTTTTTATTTTATACAGGGTGTGTACAAAACTTGCGTAAAGTTGAACTTCAATATCAAAAATATCAAATTTCTTCATTTTTTTAAATGGAACCACACAGTTTTTTCTATTTAAATGAAATCAGCGGTCAAAAATAAGGGAAATTCATGTTTACTTCCTAATAGTTTTAAAGATATTAAATATTTTACATAAAACTTACATTTCTGCCTAATTCTTAATTAAATAGGTTTTATAAGTTGGCCATGTAAATTCTTCTTGATTAATTGATAATTAATTATGGTACTTGTACGATATTACATGGCCAACTTTTAAAACCGAGTTATTTAAGAATAAGGCCGAATAGTAAGTTTTATGTAAAATTTTTAATATTATCAAATCTATTAGGTTTAGGTTTAGGGAAGTAAACACGAACTTCCCTTATTTTTGACCACTGATTTCAATAAAATAGAAAAAAAATGGGTGGTTCCATTAAAAAAAAATGAAGAAATTTGATATTTTTGAAGTTCAACTTTACGCATGTTTTGTACACACCCTGTATAAAATAAAAAGTTGGTTAACACAGATTCAAATACCTTTTACCTTGCTAGTAGCCTCCATACACAAACAATTTCCATATTTTCAAGGGTATCACCGTAAAAAAATAATTTATAAGGGCCCTGCATCGGTCAAATTTTTCAAAAAACAATTAATAACTCAAAAAATATGCATTTTTGAAAAAAGCGTTCTAGACAAAAGTACCCTAAAATTTTACGTAGATTTCGAAAATATATGAATATACAGAGTGTTCCATTAAAAATAACAAAGTTGACGCCTACTTCCGGTATATCCGAAAGTGGTACGACTGTCAAAATATTTTTAAGAAATTCATTTTATTGCTAAACATATACATACCAAACATTATTTGAATCGGATAAGTAGTTTCCAATATACAGATAATTTTAACTCGCCGTGGGACACCCAGTACAGTCGGTGCAAAACAAATATCAATGCACGTCACATAATAATTTACTACGTCATCACAAGTAGGCAGTGTTGCCGAACTTTCATAGACTTTACAAAAATCTAAGAATTTTCTAAAATTGTCAATTAACAATAACAAATTGACGTCCATTGATGTTTGTTTTGCACCGACTGTACCTACTACCGGATTTTGCGACAATTAACAACGCAATTATCCCGGAAACTTCTCTCGACAGATATTTAATTAGACTTATATACAGAGTGTCCCAATGAAAAGTAGCCCCTTTAATGAGCTAATAATTTTTAAACGCCCAATCATAAAAACATATAAGACATATTTTATTTTGCTATAACTTTTTGTTAGAGTGACACAAAAATTTTGTATCGCCTGTACAGGGTGTTTCAAAAAATCCCCTTTTTTAAATTCACAATAACTAAATTATATGATATAGGCAGTGATGTTAAAATTACTTTATAATATGTAATTAATTACAATTACAATTACTTTTGGCAAATTGTAATTAATTGCAATTACAATTACAAAATTTGCGAATGTAATTACAATTACAATTACAATTACAATTACAATTACAATTACAATTACAATTACAATTACAATTACAATCACAATTACTTTGCTTTGGTGTCAGTTTTAAATAATTATTTAGGGATTTGCAATCGAAATTAAACTTTCCACGTATTGAAAATATTAAATAAGTACTTTTGTGTCCAATGTAATTGAAATGTAATTGTAAAATGTAATTGTAATTGTAACGAAAGGAGTAATTGAATTACAAATGAATTACAATTAAGGAGTTTGTAATTAATTACCGCCTCAATTACAATAAAAGTAATTCAATTACTTTTTCAATTACTTGTAATTAATTATACAATAATTATACAATAATACAATAACATGTACAAATAACACATTTTTAAAAAGTAGAAGAGTTTAATTTTCAAAATATCTCTACATATACGGGGTGTTACATTTAAAAAAAATTGGTTACTGTGTATTCAAAATAGGAGATTTTGATGAAACACCCTGTGTTGTTAATGCCTAATTTCTGTTTAACTTTAAAACTTGTTATAAAATAAAACATATCAGAGAAAACCGCGTGTTTTTACGATTATTCGTTTACTAATTACAAGCTCATTAAAGGGGCTACTTTTCATTTGAACACCCTGTACAATTCCTAATTTTCCCGTCGCGTTCGACTCGAAGGCGATTTTCCCCGAGCGAAAGGGCAATTATGTAACTCGCTTTGTTAGAGGTATACACGAATATCGGCAAGAAAACGCTAGATTTCCAGATTTCCAGATATCCAGATCCGAAAGGGAGATTAATATTAATTCTCCCGTTGCGGAAAGAAGATTGATGGTGTTTCGCTCCGCCGCCAACTCGACTATATTTAACCTCTCCGAGCGATTGTTACCACTCGCCCCCAAGCGGCGAATAAAAATAGAAAGCCTTTCTCGCGCTTTAAAAGATAACCGATTGATTAAATAAGTGAATTAGGGGCTATTTAAGGCGCTCAAATGTCGGCCGAAATGTCTATTGTCAAAAGGCACTGGGATCGAAACGACGCCTCTGAATGAATATCCCTCTAATTCGAGTTGTTTTCGGAGCGAATAACCGCAGCGGTCAAGGCCGAAAGTAGCGAAGAATGGAAGAAAAAGAAGAAGTGATGCATTTCGGACTGAATAGTCCTCTAATTTGAGGCACGAATGAAACACAACAGTGCATGGTTTTCGGACCGAATAGCACCAGTGATTGAGGCCGAAAGTAGTGAAATAAAGAAAAAGAAGAAGACATGAGGCTTTGTACTGGGGGATTCACAGGAATCGTCAAACGTAACCGAATAGCTCAAGCAATCGAGACATGATAACAAAGAGGGACTGAATACTCTTCTAATTTGATGAAATAAGTGAATTAGGGGCTATTTAAGGCGTTCAAATGTGGAATTGGGGCCGAATAACTACGTAGCTAAAGACCTAGGGGATTCACAGAAATCATCAAACGTAACCGAATAGCTCAAGCAATCGAGACATGATAACAATGAGGGGCTGAATACTCTTCTAATTCGATGAAATAAGTGAATTAGGGGCTATATAAGGGGCTCAAATGTCGGCCGAAATGTCTATTGTGAAACGACGCCTCTGAATGAATATCCCTCTAATTCGAGTTGTTTTCGAAGCGAATAACCGCAGCGGTCAAGGCCGAAAGTAGCGAAGAATGGAAGAAAAAGAAGAAGTGATGCATTTCGGACTGAATAGTCTTATAATTTGAGGCGCGAATGAAACACAGCAGTGCATGGTTTTCGGACCGAATAGCACCAGCGATTGAGGCCGAAAGTAGTGAAATGAAGAAAAAGAAGAAGTCACGAGGCTTTGTACTGGGGGATTCACAGGAATCGTCAAACGTAACCGAATAGCTCAAGCAAACGAGACACGATAACAAAAAGGGGCTTAATACTCTTCTAATTCAATGAAATAAGCGAATTAGGGGCTATTCAAGGCGCTCAAATGTGGAATTGGGGAAAAATTTTTATGTGGAAATTGGTATGTGAATCCCATTTTCTCAAGAAAGTTTTTTTTATAAAAAATTACTTTTGGTAGTAAAATTAATAATTATTTTCTCCTCTGGTCAACTCCATCCGTGGACACACAAAACTGGAATTTAAATTTGAAAATTTGTATACAGGCTTTATTTTAGATTATAAACAACTTTCTTTTATAAAAATTTTGTGTAAAATAAAAAATAATGATACTTCTCTCTTGAGGTATTTTGATGTTTTGTTTAATTTGACAACACCCTGTAGATCCAATCTAAGATTTTTCAGTGTTATTCTCATTTTTAAAAGAAGCAAAAATTTTTATAAATGAAGTAACCCACCTATGGTCCAAAATTCTTTTTTTGTGTTTGTTAAATAAAATACCACTGTCCCGTCCACTTTCCAAAATTTTGTTTAGTCTACGACGCAGTGGAAAAGATAACCCGAAGAACTAGGCGACAATTGATAGGGGTTTAGGAATGCGAGATATAAGTGGTTGAAATAAAGATACTGCGTATGGGAAATATTGTGATGAATCTTAAAATCGAACATCTGGGCGGGTTTCTGAAAAATAGGTATCGAGAGTACGTAACGAGGAGTCGAGGAGAAGAGTTCTAGCAGTGGTGACGAGTGGGTGCAAGGTGCGATAGGTGAAATTGTGTTGTGGTTCGAGTTTTTGGAATAAAATGGAGTTGCTGCGTAAATTAAGTTTACCTCGTCCAACTAAGGTATTCAATTTCAGGAATACTAATTTCAATGGATTTAATTTCAGGTACAATGATTTTATTTTACTTTTTATTCCAGCTCTACTTTGATTATTTATATTCCCTGTTTCCCTCGAATTTACACATTTTATTTCTCTGACTTTTACTACAATATTTGAACCATTTATTTTCTTACAGATATTTTATTTACTTTATTTATGATTTATTTATCATTGCTTTTATATATTTACATTTTTTGGAGTGTCTTTGGTCAGTGTGTAAAGTTAGCGGTCACGAAAGGGGTAGTGTTTATGAATGGGCCTTGTTGCAGATAATTAACAATTTCTTCCCTGACGGTTCTCATTGCAGTAAAGCGATCGCTTCTGTGGTGAGGTACCAAGCCATGTGCCAACTATGATAGGCGGGATGTAGTAAAACTTGCTCGTTTCCTTGGCTCTTAACAAATTCTTCTTCTTGGTATGGTTGTGATTAAAGGCATCTCCGCATTTACTTATCTGTTTATTCACAGTACTACCTAGCGGGACACCTGATCTACGAATTGCCGAATCGCTGGGCCATTTAGCGGTTTCCTAACTTGACTTATTTTTGTGTATTTATTACCGGGTTATTTTATTTATTGATTTTTATTTATTTATTTTTATTTATTGATTTTATTTATTGATTTTATTTATTGATTTTTATTTATTGATTTTATTTATTGATTTTATTTATTGATTTTAATTATTGATTTTATTTATTGATTTTATTTATTGATTTTTATTTATTTATTTTTATTTGTTTATTTTACTTTATTTGGCTTTATTTGTTTGTTTGTTTATTTCTTCATTTATTGGCTTGTTGGTTAGTTTTTCTTTTGTCTCTTTCTTTGGGTATTGCACGAGAGAAGTTTTCTTACTGGTTCTTTCTTCCTCTCGCCCATAGAAGTTGCGCCCCGAACCAGATTTTGTAATTGTATCCCAAATAAAAGGTATTATGGGATAATTCGGTATTTCATTTCGAGCCTATCCCTACTTCAGAAATTTCGTAGCAATGTATTAAAGAACGAGGGGTTACTACAACTTAGACGATCACGTGTTTTCTTCCTTTTGGCCAAGGGTAGGAAATTTTATAGAACTTTGATAGGGTGGTTACACTACATAAACAATGACTTTTTGTCGTAAAATGAATAATAAAAATTTTTCTCCTATAGGCAACCCCATCCGTGGACACACTGTATAATTTATATATTTTTTTTGGTCCCGCCTACTTTTAGCCCAAACTAGCTCCATCTCTCACGGACCTCTCTCTCTCTCTCTATCATTGGGAACGCTGAATAACCTCAAAATACCGAGAGTGCCTCGTCCATACTTAATAGAGGTATGATCTTTTTTCCATCTCCGTTTCATCTATGATTAATGTCAAATGACGTCATGATTGATTCCTGATGGAATTGATGTATGTGAATATAGGAACAAATTGCTGGATGGTTGCAAATTTTGACGTTGACGTTGACATTGACAATTTAAATTAGAATTTTTAAATGTGAGGGAAATTATAAAAAATGGAGTTTTATTTGATTGCCAAAAATATGTTATATTCATCCGATTCATCATCAGAACCTGAAAGTGAAGAGTCCTCAAATAACAGTGGCAGTGATGAGTTATTGGAACTATTTTTAATAAACAAAGAAATCAATAAAACTGATGCAATAGCAGATTTCGGAATCCATTGCAAATTGCAAAACCAGCAAAACAAATTAAAAAATTGAATGCACGTTAAATGCACAACTTCAACATGGAACATCAGATCATAACCGAAACCGATCATGGAATGAAAAATATGGGTTATAATTCATCTGTCAACCAGATCCATCCTCTTCAAAATCCGATTAATCAGATGACTAATCGCTATTTCATCGATGAGAAAAAGATCGTTGACAGATGACAAACGTTTAAAAAATCGCTAAATAAATGAACAGTTTGATGACATCGATTGTTCAACCGCTGAATAAAAGATCACACCTTATGTCTATGGAGGATACCATAGACCTATTAAGTATGGACGCGTCACTCTCGGTATTTTGAGGTTATTCAGCGTTCCCAATGATAGAGAGAGAGAGAGAGGTCCGTGAGAGATAGAGCTAGTTTGGGCTAAAAGTAGGCGGGACCAAAAAAAAATATATAAAATATATACAGGATGTGTGGAAAAAGGCGATTAATCTGTTAAATTATTTATACGCTTAATATATTTAAATATTGTTTTTATCTTGTTATCCACTTGGACAGAAGAATGACCTGGATGAAACATATTTTTTACAAGAGAAAGCATCTAGGTCTTAAATTGCGAAATCTGTACTGGCTAATAGGTAGGAGGTTCCAAATAACAATACAAAATAAAAACTATTTGCAAATGCGTTGGAATTTAGGCTCAGCTGAAAAATGCATTTTGCTCAGTAAAAAAATAATAAATCCTCAACCCTATTCTACCATAACTTATCCTCGTCTACCCCAGCTACCTTGCATTTCTGAAAACGTAACTCACTTGGTCTTTTGCTTTCATACTATTGGCTAATGTATTGTCCAATCTCTCATTACCATATGCCCAAACTAGCTGCATCTCTCTCATTCATCGACAACACAACCTCTTTATCTAAACCGCGTCCATACTTAATAGGTCTATGTTGTCAACCAACACTTGTAACTTGTCGACTTGTAACTTGTCAACTTGTCAGTTATATGAGGTGTGATCTTTTATTCAGCGGTTGAACAATCGATGTCATCAAACTGTTCATTTATTCAGCGATTTTTTCAACGTTTGTCATCTGTCAACGATCTTTTTCTCATCGATGAAACAGCGATTAGTCATCTGATTAATCGGATTTTGAAGAGGATGGATCTGGTTGACAGATGAATTATAACTCATATTTTTCATTCCATGATAGGTTTCGGTTATGATCTGATGTTCCATGCTGAAATTGTGCATTCAATGGGAATTCAATTTTTTAATTTGTTTTGCTGGTTTTGCAATTTGCAATGGATTCCGAAATCTGCTATTGCATGAGTTTTATTGATTTCTTTGTTTATTAAAAATAGTTCAAATAACTCATCACTGTCACTGTTATTTGAGGACTCTTCACTTTCGGGTTCTGATGATGAATCGGATGAATATAACATATTTTTTGCAATCAAATAAAACTCCATTTTTTATAATTTTCCTCACATTTAAAAATTCAAGTTTAAATTGCCAATGTCAACGTCAACGTCAAAATTTCCAACCATCCAGCAATTTGTTCCTATATTCACATACATCAATTCCATCAGGAATCAATGATGACGTCATTTAACATTAATCATAGGTGAAACGGAGATGGAAAAAAGATGATATCTCTATTAAGTATGGACGCGGCACTCTCGGTATTTTAAGGTTATTCAGCGTTCCCAATGATAGAGATAGAGAGGTCCGTGAGAGATGGAGCTAGTTTGGGCTAAAAGTAGGCGGGACCAAAAAAAATATAAAATATATACAGGATGTGTGGAAAAAGGCGATTAATCTGTTAAATTATTTATACGCTTAATATATTTAAATATTGTTTTTATCTTGGTATCCACTTGGACAGAAGAATGACCTGGATGAAACATATTTTTTACAAGAGAAAGCATCTAGGTCTTAAATTGCGAAATCTGTACTGGCTAATAGGTAGGATGTTCCAAACAACAATACAAAATAAAAACTGTATTTGCAAATGCGTGGGAATTTAGGCTCAGCTGAAAAATGCATTTTGCTCAGTAAAAAAATAATAAATCCTCAACCCTATTCTACCATAAGCTACCCTCCTCTACCCCAGCTACCTTGCATATCTGAAAACGTAACTCACTTTGGTCTTTTGCTTTCTTACTATTGGCTAATGCATTGTCCAATCTCTCATTACAATATGCCCAAACTAGCTGCATCTCTCTCATTCATCGACAACACAACCTCTTTGTCTAAACCGCGTCCATAGTTAGGTCTATGGGGGGATACTCACCGGGATCGTCGAGCTGGAATTCCGCCTCGAGTTCCTCCCTGGTGGGTTCGCGCTCCTGCGGCTGGACCGGCTGGGCCGCTTCCGCCTTGCTCGAGGGCTGCTTCATGCTTCTCCTCACCTGGTAACCGCGGTAAGCCGCTTGTATCTTGACGATGGCTTCGTCGAGAGACGGGTCCTCTTCTTCGGCGCCTTCGCGGGGCGGCTGCTGGTCCGAGCTGAGGGTGACCGTTCGGGCGGAGGCCGGTTTCGAATCGTTTCCTGCAACGAAACAATGGAACATATTTATACAGTGAGGAGCAAAAGTTCTGGTGTAGCTTTAAAGGAAAAGGTTTTATGGTTTTAAACCATTTGTTTAAAGTTTTATAACCTTTTTCTATTATTTTTTGCTTCTACCTTTGACTTCAAAGTAAACGCTTCATAAAGCAGTAAAAGAGAAGCACAACCTTTTGCTTCAAAAAATGAAGAAATAGCTTCAAGGTATATGCTTATAAAGAATTGAAGAAAGAGAGGTTTTGCTTCTGGGACACTGATGTTGCTTTTTAAAGCAAGAGGTTTTATGGTTTTAAACCATTTGTTTAAAGGTTTAAAACCTTTTTCTATTATTTTTTGCTTCTACCTTTTACTTTAAAGTAAACGCTTTATAAATCAGTAAACCAGAAGCATAACCTTTTTCTTCAAAAAATGAAGAAATAGCTTCAAGGTATATGCTTAAAAAGAAGTGAAGAAAGAGAGGTTTTGCTTCTAGGACACTGATGTTGCTTTTTAAAGCAAAAGGTTTTATGGTTTTAAACCCTTCGTTTAAAGTTTTAAAACCTTTTTCTCTTACTATTTGCTTCTACCTTTAACTTCAAAGTAAACGCTTCATAAAGCAGTAAACGAGAAGCACAACCTTTTGCTTCAAAAAATCAAGGAATCGCTTCAAGGTATATGCTTAAAATGAAGTGAAGAAAGAGGGGTTTTGTGTCCAATACCCTTCTGTTGCTTTTTAAAGCGAGGTTTTTAAAGCAGGTTTTGGGGTTTTCAAGGTATTTGCATATACAAAAGAAGTAAAGAAAGAGAGGTTTCGCTTCGAGGACCCTGATGTTGCTTTAAAGCAAAAGGCCTTACGGTTTTAAACCCTTCGTGTAAAGTTTTAAAACCTTTTTCTCCTACGGTTTTGCTTTAAAAAGCAACAGAAGGGTATTGGAAGCAAAACCTCTCTTTCTTCGCTTCTTTTTAAGCATATATCTTGAAGCGATTTAACCATAAAACTTGAAGCGATTCCTTCATTTTTTGAAGCAAAAGGTTGTGCTTCTCGTTTACTGATGTATGAAGCATTTACTTTGAAGTAAAAGGTAGAAGAAAACAGTAAGAGAAAAAGGTTATAAAACTTTAAACAAATGGTTTAAAACCATAAAACCTTTTGCTTTAAAGCTACATCAGGATCCTCGAAGCAAAACCTCTCTTTTTTCGCTTCTTTTTAAGCATATACCTTGAAGCTATTTCTTCATTTTTTGAAGCAAAAGGTTGTGCTTCTCGTTTACTGCTTTATGAAGCGTTTTACTTTGAAGTAAAAGGTAGAAGCAAAAAGTAATAGAAAAAGGTTTTAAAACTTTAAACAAATGGTTTAAAACCATAAAACCTTTTGCTTTAAAGCAACATCAGTGTCCTAGAAGCAAAACCTCTCTTTCTTCACTTCTTTTTAAGCATATACCTTGAAGCGATTCCTTCATTTTTTGAAGCAAAAGGTTGTGCTTCTCGTTTACTGCTTTATGAAGCGTTTACTTTGAAGTAAAAGGTAGAAGCAAAAAGTAAGAGAAAAAGGTTATAAAACTTTAAACAAATGGTTTAAAACCATAAAACCTTTTGCTTTAAAGCAACAACAGGATCCTCGAAGCAAAACCTCTCTTTCTTCACTTCTTTTTAAGCATATAACTTGAAGCGATTTCTTCATTTTTTAAAGCAAATAAAGGTTGTGCTTCTCGTTTACTGCTTTAAGTAGCGTTTACTTTGAAGTAAAATGTAGAAGCAAAAAGTAATAGAAAAAGGTTTTAAAACTTTAAACAAATGGTTTTAAACCATAAAACCTTTTGCTTTAAAGCAACATCAGTGTCCTAGAAGCAAAACCTCTCTTTCTTCACTTCTTTTTAAGCATATACCTTGAAGCGATTTCTTCATTTTTTGAAGCAAAAGTTTGTGCTTTTCGTTTACTGCTTTATGAAGCATTTACTTTGAAGTAAAAGGTAGAAGCAAAAAGTAAGAGAAAAAGGTTATAAAACTTTAAACAAATGGTTTAAAACCCATAAAACCTTTAGCTTTAAAGCAACAACAGGATCCTCGAAGCAAAACCTCTCTTTCTTCACTTCTTTTTAAGCATATAACTTGAAGCGATTTCTTCATTTTTTAAAGCAAATAAAGGTTGTGCTTCTCGTTTACTGCTTTAAGTAGCGTTTACTTTGAAGTAAAATGTAGAAGCAAAAAGTAAGAGAAAAAGGTTTTAAAACTTTAAACAAATGGTTTAAAACCATAAAACCTTTTGCTTTAAAGCAACAACAGGATCCTCGAAGCAAAACCTCTCTTTCTTCACTTCTTTTTAAGCATATAACTTGAAGCGATTTCTTCAAAATGTAGAAGCAAAAAGTAAGAGAAATAGGTATTAAAACTTTAAACGAAGGGTTAAAACCATAAAACCTTTTGCTTTAAAGCAACATCAGTGTCCTAGAAGCAAAACCTCTCTTTCTTCACTTCTTTTTATATGCAAAAATAATTTTTTGAAAATAAAAGGTTATGCTTATTTTTATTCTAGGTTGTTATTTTTGTGCGTGGAAAACCGGGTGATATTTCGGCGGGTTAAACGTTATTTCTCGAAGCGTAAATATAACGTAAGGGATGGCGAGCTTCCCTTATCTTAGTCGAGATGGAAGCCCGAAAGTAAATTTGTTTTTTCACTTTTCCTTTTTATTTTATTGTTTGCGTTTCTTTGCTTTTTCGAATTAGTTGACATCCTCCGAGGAGGAAAAACAAATTTAATTCAGCCTATTTCGTTATTTACGTTGTATAACGTTGAAGGATAACGGAGGGGATTAATTTAATACTAATAAATCGTCCCCTTTCCTTGTTTTTCCTTAAAATTTTCATGGTTTACTTAGATAACAAAACCCACTTTGTATGATGAGGTAGCATAATCGAATGACATTTGACGTACACGTCAAATTAACGTAACGCTATTTAATAGTTTATATTTCATACGTTCATATAAGAAGTAAATACAAATTTAATGCAGTATATTTCGTTATTATTTACGTTATACGTTGAATGATAACGGAGGGAATTAATTTATACTAATAATCGTTCCATTTCCTTGTTTTTTCTTAAATTTTTCATGGTTTACTTAGATAACAAAACCCACTTTGTATGATGAGGTGGCATAATCGAATGACATTTGACGTACACGTCAAATTAATGTTACGCTATTTAATAGTTTATATTTCATACGTTCATATAAGAAGGAAATACAAATTTAATACAGTATATTTCGTTATTATTTACGTTATACGTTAAATGATAACGGAGGGAATTAATTTATACTAATAATCGTTCCATTTCCTTGTTTTTCCTTAAATTTTTCATGGTTTACTTAAATAATAAAACCCACTTTGTCTGATGATGTAGCATAATCGAATGACATTTGACGTACACGTCAAATTAAGGTAACGCTATTATTGTGTATATTTCATACCTTATCCCAATGTTACATACGTTTGTGCCATGTGTGTGTGTGAATTAATATGGAAGTACACGAGCCGATTTATTCGTGTTTGCGTAAATAAAACATATACAGCAGTTTGAGGCAGGATTTTGGGCCGAAACTCACGTTCTATCCGTACCCGAAAACGTGATTTCGATCGAAATTCGACGCGGGGAAACCCCCCAGCCCGTTATTCTCGCCCTAAACAAGCTGGTTTGTTATTTTTGCCGAGTCATAATTAGCTGAAAACCGGCGTTTAACGCTCCCATCTTACATAGATACTGAGAATTTACAATTCAAATCGGGTTATTACAAGACGAGCAGAGGTCTTTAGATGGGAATTGAACGTCTACGGCTTGCTTGGATATATAACTAAAGTTTTTTCAACCATTTTGAATGAAGTGGTGCATGACAGTTGACGTATACGTCAAATTAACGTAATGCTATTTTAGCGTATGCTTTCATATGTAATGCTAATTGTTACACTGTTTATACAGGGTGTTTCATTGGGAAAGAGGGGATTTCTCACGTAGAAATGTAAACATTGATTAATCAATGATTAATTATGAATTGAATGAATTGAAATCATTTTAATTTTATTAAGTGCGGATCTGTAATTGTAATTTTTATTGGTTTATGTGAATGTTAATTCAAGTTCAATAGGTCCATTTCAGGAATTTCCATGAAAGTGTTAAGTAAATCTGGTTTTATTAAAGAAAAATTAATTAAAATCCCTTCAATTACAATTTACATGGACCAAAAATCTCATAATGTACATTTTAACGTTTCAATTTTGGTAGAAAAACGGCATGCGGGAAAATAAAAAGTTGATGAATACATTTAGTTTTTTATGCTTTTTCTAAATTTGAAATTCAATTTTTAAAAATATGATGTATAGGATTTTGTTTTAGGGTCGGTCAAATTTTAATAATTTTTCTAAATCCGGACCTGGATTTTGTAATTTTTTTAATGTGGCAATAAATTGTTCTAAAGGTATAGAATATCTATGCCAAATATCAAGAAAATATACTGAGTGATTCAAAAGTTATAGGTGTCGAAAGAAATGGGCCAAATTCAAAAAACACCCTGTAACTCGGTTATAAAGGGCGCAAGACACATATAGTAAATGGGTTTTTTGTAATCCCCTGGGTGACCTTTATATAGGGTAAAAATATTGCCCTTTCCCAATGAAACACCCTGTATAGGGTGTTAATTAATTTAATTGTATGCCGATACTTCAGAATGTGAATATTTGGATGATTTTAAGAAGGAATGTTTATATCAATGTATGTCCTAAATCTCTTAGTTTTCGAGCTACAGGGTGTTAAAATTTTAGAAAAAAATTAACTTTTCTCTCATAATTTTCTTATTACTCCAGTTATTTTTAAGAAATTTTGCATACACTTTTTAATTATTAAGGAGCATTTTTTGAGGCATAAGATTTTTTTTAAATTTTCACCAGTGACGTCCGTACGGGGTTTGAACTGAATATGTTTGAAAAAAAAATGGTACACCACTGCTTTTTCTAAAAACTAAAATTATTTTTAAAATTC